TCGTCTATTTCAGACAGTCGAACTCAGTGAACGAGAAAGCAGTCGAATCAGATAAGGTGGCTTGTCCATGCCTTATGTTCGACATATGATATCGTGATACAAAAGGATCATCAATCGGAATCATCACTGGAGTTCGTATGACCACGAACAAACTCTATTCGAGATAGGTAGTCATAGTGTCTTGCTAGAGACCGCCTATGACTTGTATATCCGGAATAGAGATTCCGGGTTATACTACTATATCGAGTGAGCCTACAGGGACACACACGCAGGGAAGGACAAAACGCACGAGAATACGACCGAAAAACCAAGACGGAAGGGTCTGGAACGGACGGACCAGAAGTCCGGAACGGATGGTCCACCAGGTCCAGACCCGACGGTCCGAGAATAGTCGCAGATCGCCCGTTCTATGTGATGGAACGGACGGTCCGCGTTGATAACAGACCGTCCGTTCTGGCTTGCCTGGAACGGACGGTCCACGTTGCAGACCGTCCATTCTGGCTTGCTGGAACGGACGGTCCACGTGTATTTCTGGACCGTCCGTTCCGGGTTTCAGATTTTTCGAAAATTAAACCGAAATTAGGGTTAAATCACTTTATAAGAAAGAGATTAAAACCCTAATTCGTATGAGACTTGAGAGAGCCGACTTTCAGAGAATTCTAAGAGCTTTTGGTGAGATCCAAAGAGTTCAAGGAATTCTAAGTCTCGTTTTCTCGAAGTGCACAAACCGAATAGAGATTCGAGTCCTAGCAGACAAGTTCCAATCGTTGGAATCCATCCCGAGGTGTGGATACATGTAGAGGGCGAGGTAATCTTCCTGCCTTTCGTGATCAGACGTGTTCTTCGATTGATACAGGCCCCGGATCGATTGAGGTAAGCGTTCTAACGTTTCTACGATTCAATAGCAGCATGGTTCTAGGGTTATATATAAATTTTTGTTTTACTTCCGTTGCGCAAACCCTAGAATCGATCTCTTAGGAATTAGATTCGCTCATGAGATCCCAGGAATCCCAACAGGAGGTGTCACTCGTGAATGTCTTGTGGCGAAGCCAAGGGATCTCTGACATGACTTGGAAACCCGAGGCAGAGATAAGTAGTAGTTATCCGCATCTATTTACTTGAGCGTTGTACGAACTCCTTTATATGGCGTTCGGTTTGTATCAGACTTATGTTTCGGATGGTACATGGCGATATGGATTGTGTTTTGGTGATGATATCGAGTACGATGAGGTATCGATAATATTATGCGATTCCGAATTCGAGGACGAATTCTTTTTAAGGGGGGAGGATTTATAATACCCTGAAACCGGATTTGAATATTTAATTATTTAAAAATAAATAATTAAATAGAGATGTCACGAAATCACCCAAAACAAATAGTACAATGCCGAGAAGAGGTACAAGGATCGTCACGTGCGGAAAGAATCAAAAAAAAAAGAAAAGAAAAAAAAACAGGGTTGGTCCGCCGGACCAGAATTTGGTCCGGGGCGGACTAACCTCCTCAGCCAGAGTCGGAGCGCGCTGAGCGGACTGGGGAAAATTTCAAAAAAAAAATATAACTGACCCCGGTCCGGCGGACCAAATAGTTGGTCCGACGGACCGGGATCCGATAGACACGCAAGTTGTCAACTTGCGGTCTTGGGACACGAACTTCGCCGGATTTCGGGACCTACCTGCCGTGCTGCCACCTCCCACGCCTCAAGGATGTTGCAAGCTCGCCTATGGGCCTAGACTCGAGCCCATTCGACCCCTCTCGCACGCCATAAACTCTCATCAATCCTCTCCCTTAGCCATTCTCGGGCAAAACAGAGGAATGAGAGAAACAGGGAGAAAGGGAGGGAGAGAAGGCGAACCAGAGAGAAAGAAGCTCGGGGAGACCAAGAGGGACGTGCCCAGACGTGTCCCGAAGCTTCTCACGTCGTATGGAGCACGGGGAACGCACACAAGCTCGGACAAACTCAAGAATAAGGTGAGTGGCTTGAGTTGGATTTGTGAGATCTCATTTTCAATGTGTGATGGTGCATATCGAGATTTTCTTGCGTGTTTAAGGCTTAGAACATGTCTAGGAATGTAAAACTATGTTTTAATAACATTTGGAAACAACCCCGAATCGAAACGGATGAGAAAACGCGAAACAGAGTTCGGAAATGGCGAAGAAGAAGACAAATCCCAGTCCCGGTCCGCCGGACCAGCCGCTGGTCAGCTCCGAACCGAGACTGTGATGATGAACATGTGGTCAGTCGGAGCAGAGGGAGACGGGGCAGACCGAGAGAAAAACACGTCCTGATCCGCCGGACTAGACGTGTTCTGAGGAGACGTACACCGACTGACCGAGAAAGGACGGACCAGGGGAAAAGAGTAGTCTGGTCCGGGGCTGACCAGTACTGGTCCGCCGGACCAGACGTACTCCGAGAAGTTTACGCTCCGCTTGACCAAAGAACCGGACCGAGAGAGAGGAAGAATAAGCTGGTCCGGGGCTGACCAATCCTGGTCCGCCGGACCAGGATTGTTTTCTCTCTCGGACCGACGGACCAAAAGATGAGGCGGACCAGGGGAGAAAGAGAACTGGTCCGGCTGACCAGAACTTGGTCCGCCGGACCAAGCCCAGAGAAAAATTTGGAGAAAATTCAACTTCAACCGAGAAAGAGAAAACGGCCAACGGGGTTGGCCCGAGCCTGAGCAGGCTTGACCGTGGGCGAACTAAACCCCCAACAGAGGACAAAGCTTCGTGATTGAGATCAATCGGACCGAGTTTTCGCCAGAATGTTGTGTAGCGTAGTGAGATGTGCGACATCAAAATACGAGCGGTCGTTGCGTGATTGTTTGTGGGTAGAATTGCATGGCGTTAAACGGTAGCTCAGTAGGGATCGGATGTCGTGATACGCGTGATCGTACTATGGGGAATTGCACGTTGTGTGCCATGTGTGTAGCTTGCTCGTGCGTATGAGTTAAGCGTGATTGTGGTTGTGGATGGTTGTGGACTCAACCATCACCGTCATGGACTTGACGGGTGTTAAGATGTGTTCTAGTCGTGTACGATACGACGGCCAACGTTACGCGAGTGACGGGCGTAGACTCGCCCCTAGTCATGGATTTGACTAGGGTATATGGCTAAGCCCGATGGTGGACTCCATACGGGCATGATTGAGATTGCCGTTTACGTGTTTATTGTGTTTTGTTTATTGCATGTGTTTTATGGAAATGTCGACTGTACCGTTCTTAGTGGGAACGGGATTTCCGGGTTCAACCCGGGCTACTCACTAAGCAGTTGTATTTAGCCCTCGTGGTTTATATTTTTCAGATCACGAGGATTACGCCTAACGCACCGGACGACGATGACTTGAGAGAAGCAGCATCATGTACGGGATTTGAATTCTAGATTATGGGACTTGTATTCCCGCATTTTGTACGGTTATATTAAGACTAATCGGACATGTGTTATTTTGCGAATGATCGCGTTGTATTTTCCGCTGCTTACTCTGATTTGAATTAAAATGTTTTTGGATTTCGTATTTTCGCTTCCGCAATTTATTATTTTATTATATATCGTCCATGTGGCACAGTCCGTTTACTGTACACGGGTTACGGGTCTCACAGTGATTACGCCATCAGTTGTCAGAGTCGGTAGGGGAACAGGGGAACCCGCATCGATGAAAACTCGAGGTTGTGACCCTCAAACAGAGACCGAACCTGGACACTCCAGGTGAAGTAATTTGTAGGAGTAAGTTGTGTAACATTTGACATGTTGCAAGCCAATAACATCTTCTGAGGTTCCTGAGTATTGAAAGTGGCAGGAGCATCAGTGTGCTGGGTTGTAGGTATCTGTGTGGCTGTTTGATTAGTGGCCATGGTGGAGAATTTGGGAAAAGAGTGGAGGATCGAGCGGTGTTAGCGAGTTCGCTCTGATACCATATAACAGTACACGTTGATGTGTAAGAAAGCGGCTTGTCTTATTGATCTCTTACAGTAGTACATTTATATATAGGAGAGTAACAGATATGGCTAGAAAATATATACAGAGATATATAGTTTCCCTTATAATAAATAGGTGATCAAGGGATCCAAATAACCCAGATGAGTGGTGAATCTTCCGGACTCATCTACCATCTTTAAGAATCTCCATTGGAAAGGGATAGTGGACCCCTTGACGAAGGCCTGGGGAAGTAGCCGCATGTTTTCCATTGACTGGGATAGAGAATTTGGTTGTTATTGTGCATTGTTTGATCCATCTCACAAACCGAGTATGCAGTCCAATTGTTTACAGGATTCTTATATGCATATGTATGCATACATATATATATCGTTTATTTTTATTTTTGTCTCGTGATAAAACCGATGATATATATTACCACGTCATCCCTCTACTTGAAAGAAATCGAAGAAATTTAATGCAATTTATAACCGAAAATTGAAAACCATTTTTACATTTTTTATATGTATTTAGTACATTTTGAATTTGAATGTAGTTTTTTTTATCAAAATGAAAAATTAGTGAATATTTTTGTTATTTTCACCAAAATTTCCTAGATATCTCTATATAAATGTGGTAAAATAAAGTATGATTAGAGATTGATTTAGTGAAAAAGATTTAAACAAAAATAAACGAATCAATTAAAACTTTGATAAAGAAGAGTAATATTTCTCAAATCAAATTTGGAATGTTATGAGTAATAAATATATAATATATCAAATGCAGAAGGCAAATTCACATATAATCTTCATTACACACATATACAAACATATATATACACACACACACACTTGTATATAACTTATTCTCCTAGATACATTCAAATTAAAAGTTCACATGTCAGTTCATGTCGGTTGTGTTTCCACAAATTAAAAGTTCATGTCGGTGCCGTCCATGTATAAGAGGATGAGGGACGAAGGCGTGAAGTCCGATTTGTATACATCTTCTATCCTGATCAATGTTTTTTGTCATCTGAAGAAAATAGGTTATGGTTTTGGTGTTTTGGGTGATATTATGAAGAGAGGTCTGGAAGCCGATTCAGTAATGGTCAAGACTCTGGTGAAAGGTCTGTGTTCGGAAGGGAAAGTGTTTGACGCAGTTCAAGTGTTTGACAAAATGTCCGAAAAAGGGTTTCGTGCGGATGCTGTCTTTTACAATTCTATGATTCATGGGTACCGCAAACTAGGAATGTGGGAAGAAGTTACAAAGATGATCCAGAAAATGGCAATAGAAGGGCTTTCACTGAATGTTTATACTTATAACATCTTGATCGATGGTTTTTGCAAAGTCAAGAAGGTGAATGCAGCGATTGAAGTGTTCGAATCCATGTTGAATCGAGGCATCGAGCCTGATGCAGTTACCTACAGTACAATGATCGTTTGCTATTTCAAGCATGGAGAAACTAAGGAAGCATTGAAACTTCTAAAAGAGATGATTCATGAAGGGTTGAAACCTGACGAGTTTACTTACACCACCCTTATTCATTTTGTAAGCCTATCGGGAGATCTGCAAGCTACACAAGGAATCTTTGATTCAGCTTACAAGTCTGGTCACTCTCCTGCCATATATTCATATTCTGCCCTCATTAATGGTTTGATAAAAAATGGGAAAATGGAAGAAGCTCGGAAAAAATTTGATGAAATTCTAGGTATGGGTTTGGTGCCCGATGTTGTAACCTACAACACAATGCTCCATGGCCTCTGCAAAAGTAAGAAGCTATCTGAAGCGAGAGAGTTGCTCATTGATATGGAGGCAAAGGGTTGTCCTCCAGATGCTATTTCGTTTAACACGGTTATTTGGGGTTTCCTTAAGGGTGAGAAGATTGAAGACGCAGTCCTACTTCTTGAGAGCATGCTTGAGAGGAATTTCTCTCCCAATAAGGGTATTAAGTCCAAGTTAAGTCGCATCTTTGCAGATTCTAAGGGTTATAGAACTCTTCAACCACTTGTAGACGCTTATGGAGTGAGGATCTATGAGCAAAATTGATATAATCAGGTGAGGAAAAAAGACTAAAGGTACACCACAATCATTCTGTGTTTGAGCACAAAAAAATACTTCCCTAAGCAATAGATGATGATGGTGCAGAGAGGGTAACTAGTTGCCTAGAGATCTCTTTTAGTGGCCGAAAACCCGAAATACAGAATATAAATCTGTTCAGTCTGATGGAAAGTCTTCGTCCAAGAGATTCTACCCGAGTGCCGCTCTCTTCCGGCCACGCCCTCTGCTGGTGGAGTGTTGCGTTAACTCCACTGGGAAACTGTGGACTTTTTCGTTGTATGCAGTCTCGGATCCCTCGAAAGAGCGAAGCCGGCGAAGAGACTGATCCAAAGAAAAAGATTTGGGTCCTATGATTCTCGACATCATCGTGAAAGTAACAGAACACTTCCTGTTGTTTCCAGGTTCGCACACGACAACAGAGCTTCTATGCTCTAATTCGTTTTCTTTCTCTATTTCTTTTTTTCTGCCCCTATAGTTTCCCTAATGTAGAAAAGCAGCCCTAACATATTAATGCCATCACCCACATGTTTGTGGTCGAGCGGTGCCTTTGGCGCTGGTAGTGGAGTTGTGTCCTTTCCAGGTCAGGGGTACGACTCCAGACATGCGGGGAGGGATAGGCGTAGCCAAAGGCTGCTCCCCGGTCGGAGAGATGTAAGTTGGACCGATAATTTGGTTTAGACCAAACAAATGAGATTATGAGAGTGATTTGCAGAATCTTAGTATTGAATTCCAGTTTATTTGAAGAAACATACAATAGTTTACTTTTTTTGGATTTGTAATGAAATCGAGAACGTATTTGATCCTAAGAAGTTATCTCAAAATCAACAAACACCCCAAAATCTAGCAAGAGTCTCCCAAGATGAATTTGAAATTTTCATAATTGAAAAGTTTATTAAAATAAATAATACCCAGCAAACATAAAATCATTTTATGTTATCATGTCACAAAATCTATGTTTTTCATTTGAAATAGAAGAAAGTATAATAAGGTTCAATAGTCATAACAAGAATTAAACAACTCTAATATATCGGTTTAGAACGTGACTTACATTCCTAGATGTTAACCCCAATAAAACCATATAGATTACAAATGATAATAGATCTGACAAAGCAAAAAGATTTCATCTTGTACGAAACCCAATCGATATCAACATCAATAATTGGCAGTTCATATAACGATTTATCTTTATAGTTGTACCATTTATAATAAGAGTTCAACAATCTACGCAACATTAAAAAAATATTTGAATTCCATATCTTCAATGAATACGACGATTCGTCTATTATAATATTTCTAATGAATGTTTTTCTACATGATTATTGATTAGATTTAAGGATAATAAATTTAGAATTATCTCTTTAAAACTTATTTATTTAAAATTTTCTGATACCCGTTTTATTGAAAAATTCTTGGAACATTTTGAAAATCTTCATAATGTGATAAACAATTTGTATCCAACGAGAAAGATCTATTCAACCACAATAATTATAATACCAATGTAGTTATTTTCTAGAAACATGAAGATATGTAGTTTTATTTTCTCTTTTTTTTTTTTTGGTTCTTAATTTCTCTGTGGAATTTTAATATTTTCTGAATATTCGATTCAAGACAAGTCGACTTGAGGAGTTTGCGCCGATATTTTTTTAACATTTGAAAAATATTTTGAATCATGTTGCTATGCTCTTTTATATTTTTAAAATAAACCGGGAGCCATTATTAGTATATTTGAAAATTACTACAGTAATTTGGCATAAAACAAATTATTAGCGATTGATGTTTTTTCCAAGGCAGGTTATTTTAGATCACATTAATAGTTTAGGTTTGGTTTTCTACTTTGGGGAAATTAGAGGGGTTGAAAAACAAAATAGAGAAACAAAAAAACCAATAGGTTTGAGAAGGCTCTCCCTGTCGTGTGTGAACTGGAGACGACAGACAGAGCTTTGAAGTGTTCCGATGCCGAGAATCATGGGAGCCAGATCTTTTTCTTCAGATGGTTTTCGATCACTCTCTTCCCAGTCTTCGCTCTTTGAAAGAACCAGTGCTCAGATTCCCAGCGGATTTGAACTCGAGTTGAGGCGACTATGCAAATCGGGTGAACTTAACCTTGAAGGTGCTATTTTTTACTTCGATAAGCTTATTGAGACAAGACCCATCCCTTCGATTGGTACTTTTAACCATGTGTTGGGTTCTGTCTCGAAGCTCAAAGGGTATTCGGAAGTGCCGTCCATGTATAAGAGGATGAGGGACGAAGGCGTGAAGTCCGATTTGTATACATCGTCTATCCTTATCAATGTTTTCTGTCATCTGAAGAAAATAAATTATGGTTTTGGTGTTTTGGGTGATACTATGAAGAGAGGTCTGGAAGCCGACTCAGTAATGGTCCAGACTTTGGTGAAAGGTCTGTGTTCGGAAGGGAAAGTTTTTGACGCAGTTCAAGTGTTTGACAAAATTTCTGAGAAAGGGCTTGGTAGGGATAGTGGTTGCGAGGCTAATGTACTTTCTTACGGGATGATTATCCATTCACTTATCAAGAACTGTTCATTGGATAGAGCAGTGGTTGTATTTCAGAAAATGATAGATCATGGAGTTGCCCCTAACGTTATTGTTTTTGCTGACCTGATTAATGGATTGAGTAGCTCGGGACGATTGCGTGAGGCACTCGAGCTCTTTGATGAGATGGTTGTTCGAGGAATCTCTCCGAATCTCATAGTTTACAATTCTTTGATTCGTGGATGCTGCAAACTAGGAATGTGGGAAGAAGTTGCAAAGATGATCCAGAAAATGGCAAGAGAAGGGCTTTCACCAGATGTTTATACTTATAGCATTTTGATTGATAGTCTGTGCAAAGTCAAGAAGGTGAATGAAGCGATTCAAGTGTTCGAATCCATGTTGGATCGAGGTATTGAGCCCAGTTTGCATACATATACCTCGCTTTTGGCTGGCCTTTTTACTGTCAACAGGTCAAAGGATGCCGTTGAGTTATTTGAATCATTGAGGCATGGAAACCTTCGGCCTAATGCAGTTACCTACAACATAATGCTCCATGGACTCTGCAAAAGTAAGAAGCTATCTGAAGCGAGAGAGTTGCTAGTTGAAATGGAGACAAAGGGTTGTTCTCCGAATGCCAATTCATTTAACACGGTTATTTGGGGTTTCCTTAACGGTGAGAAGATTGAAGATGCAGTCCAACTTCTTGAGAGCATGCTTGAGAGGAACTTCTCTCCTTGTGAGGCTGTTAAATCCAAGTTAAGCCGCATTTTTACAGATTCTGAGGGTCATAGAACCCTGCAGACACTTCTAGACGCTTATGGAGAGAAGATCTTCTAGTGAAATTGATATAATCAGGTCAGGTAAAAAAACTATAGGTACACCACAATCATTCTGTGTTTAAGCACAAAAACTACTTCCCTTAGCAATAGATGATAATGTGCAGAGAGGGTAACTAGTTGCCTAGAGATCTCTTTTAGCGGCCGAAGACCCGAAATACAGAATATAAATCTGTTCAGTCTGATGGAAAGTCTCCGTCCAAGAGATTCTACCCGCGTGCAGCTCTCTCCAAGCCGTGCTCTTTTACTGGTGAAATGTTGTGTTGTTACCTTCTCTGAAGTTTCATCCTTCCTCAATCTGTGTATCATCGCTTTCACCGTCGAAGCTTTCAGTTTTATCTAATGTCTCTTCCTCTTGAAGCCTATCCCCCGAGTTTTCTTGTTCTGATAGCTTGTCTCGTAGTTTAAGCTTTGCTTTTTTCGCATTCAATACAGAAAGGGAACTGCATGTACAACAGACAGACTTAGTTTCTGTTCCGTCCTGTAATACAGAAAGGAACAAAGTTGATGATGATTCTGCTTTCAAGTTTAAACTAAAGCTATAGAAGTGTCCTGTAATGAAGTGGAGAAAGACCCTTGTCTCCATACACACCTTGGCATAAGTTAACAGTATGATATTGGACAAAATATCTTAGGATCAAACCTATTCCGTTTATATTCAATAAAGTTAAGCTCTTTTAAATTTCTTAAAATAAACTGGAATTCAATATTAATACTCCGCAAATTAATGATCATGGATTCTTAAAACAAAAAGTAACGGAATCTAAATTAACCATAACCAATTAATCCAAACCTAAACGAACGCTCTGAAATTTAATGAAATTTCCATGGAAAAAGAAAAACAAACTCTTAGATTTGATTATGCAATGAACAAAAAAATAGGAAATGTGTCTTTTGCACATTGCTTCCCTGTTTCTTCTCCGTCAAAGACGTCTCGTCTTGCCCTTTAAACCTCCCATTCTTTCCATCCATCTGTGTAGAGAGATTGTAACATTTTGATTGCCCACATCATTGAATCCGCATCTGCAGTTTGTTAATGTCTATCACTTCTCCACTGTTTCTTCTCGGGTAAAGAAGTCACGTCGAATGGAGACTTAACATTGTCATATCAATTTTACTCGAAGATCTTCTTTCCATAAGTGTCCACAAGTGCCTGAAGAGTTCTATGACCCTCAGAATCTGCAAAAATGCGACTTAACTTGGACTTAACAGCTTCATTGGGAGAGAAATTCCTCTCAAGCATGCTCTCAAGAAGCTGGACTGCATCTTCCATCTTCTCACCGTTGAGAAAACCCCAAATAACCGTGTTAAATGAAATGGCATCTGGAGGACAACCCTTTGCCTCCATTTCAACCAGCAATTCTCTCGCTTCAGAGAGCTTCTTACTTTTGCAGAGTCCATGGAGCATTATGTTGTAGGTTACAACATCAGGCACCAAACCCATACCTAGAATTTCATCAAATTTTTCCTGGGCTTCTTCTACTTTCCCATTTTTTATCAAACCATTAAGGAGCGCACAATATGCAGATATGGGGGGAGACGAACCAGACTTGTATGCTGAATCAAAGATTCCTTGCGCAGCCTGCAGATCTCCTAATTGGCTTACAAAATGAATAAGGGTGGTGTATATAAACTCGTTAGGTTTCAACCCTTCACGAATCATCTCTCGTAGTAGCTTCAATGCTTCCTTAGTTTCTCCAAGCTTGAAATATCCCGCGATCATTGTGCTGTAGGTAACTACATCAGGCCGAAGGTTTCCTTGCCTCAATGATTCAAACAACTCAATGGCATCATTTGACCTATTGACCGCAAACAGACCAGCCAACAGCGAGTTATAGATATACAAATCGGGCACGATGCCTCGATCCAACATGGACTCAAACACTTCAATCGCTTCAGTCACCTTCTTGACTTTGCACAGGCCATCGATCAAGATGTTATAAGTATAGACATTCAGTGAAAGCCCTTCTCTTGCCATTTTCTGGACCACCTTTGCAACTTCTTCCCACATTCCTAGTTTGCAGTATCCACAACAACAACAACAACAACAACAACAACATGGTCTTATTCCCAAGTTTATTTGGGGTCGACCGCATGAATCCTTCGTTTCCACTCATTTCGATCACTTGTTAATTCTTTCGGAATCTGCAATACTTCCAAATCGTTTCTAATCACACGCTCCCAAGTAAGTCTAGGTCTACCTCTTCCTATCTTTTTCGTCTCCATTTTTATACTCTCTATTTTTCTAACCGGCGCGTCTAACGGCCTCCGTTGTACATGTCCAAACCATCTTAAACGTCCCTCCCGTACCTTCTCTTCGATACCTATTACTCCTATTTTCTTTCGAATACTCTCATTTCTAATTCTATCTATCCTTGTGTGTCCGCACATCCATCTCAACATCTTCATCTCGGCCACACTCATTTTTGACATATGTTGCCCTTTCGCCGCCCAACATTCGCTGCCATACAACAATGCGGGTCTTATGGCGGTACGGTAGAATTTTCCTTTCAACCGTAAAGGAACCTTACGGTCACAAAGAACTCCTGTGGCTTGTCTCCATTTCATCCATCCCGCTTTTATTCTATGGCTAACATCCTCATCGCAACCTCCATCCTTTTGAAGGATTGACCCAAGATATTTAAAATGCGGGTTTTGAGGGATTGATCCTCCTTGTAGGGTCACTCCCACATCACTGGGTCGTTTGCCACTGAAGTCACAATGCATGTACTCAGTCTTCATCCTACTAATCCTAAAACCCTTAGTCTCTAGCGTACTCCTCCATAACTCTAGCAGTCCATTTACTCCTTCTCTGGACTCGTCTATTAGCACGATGTCATCCGCAAACATCATGCACCACGGTACCTCTTTCTGTATATCTCTAGTCAGTTCATCCATGACTAACGCAAAGAGGTATGGACTTAGAGCGGACCCTTGGTGTAACCCTATCGAGATGGGAAAATCTCGCGTGTCACCCCCTGTTGTTCGGACACGAGTAGTCGCACCATCATACATGTCCTTCAATACTTGTATGTATCTTACCGATATCCCCCTACGCTCTAAGACCCACCATAAAACCTCTCTTGGTACTCGATCGTAAGCTTTTTCGAGGTCGATAAATACCATGTGCAGGTCTTTCTTCATATCTCGAAACTTCTCCATCAAGTTCCGGATGAGAAAGATTGCTTCCATTGTAGATCTTCCGGGCATAAAACCAAATTGGTTTACGGAAATAGATGTGTCGCTACGTAAACGTCGCTCTACGATTCTTTCCCACAACTTCATCGTATGACTCATGAGTTTTATGCCTCTATAGTTTGTGCAACTCTGGATATCTCCCTTATTTTTAAAAATAGGAACTAAAGTGCTTTGCCTCCATTCATTTGGCATCTTCTTCGATACTAGGATTTTATTAAACAACCTAGTAAGCCAAGTTACTCCGTCTTCTCCTAAGCACTTCCACACTTCAATAGGTATATCATCGGTACCACATGCTTTACCTATTTTCATCTTTCTTAGCGAGTCTCTCACCTCTGCATATCCAATCCTTCGAGTATAACCGACATTCCTCTCCTTAGTGACGGTCTCTAGTTCTATGTGGTCCGTTTCCATGTTCTTGTTATATAGGTCATCAAAGTAACTTCTCCATCTCGCTTTGATGTCATCGTCTTTAACTAGAGTTTTGCCTTCTTCATCCTTAATACATCTAACCACGTCCAAATCTCTAGTTCTCCGCTCTCTCGCTCTAGCTATTCTGTAGATATCGTTTTCTCCCTCCTTTGTCTCGAGCTTCTCATACATCCTTTCAAAGGCCTTGGCTCTTGCTTGGCTAACGGCTTTCTTCGCCTCCTTCTTAGCCAACTTATACTTTTCATATGCCTCGTTTGTATTACATGTAGGCAATTTTCTATACCAATCCCTTTTGGTCTTTAAAGCCTTTTGTACTTCTTCATTCCACCACCATTTTTCCTTTGTTGGTGGTCCATACCCTTTTGATTCTCCAAGTACCTCTCTAGCAACACTCTTAATGCTAGATGACATATCTAACCACATTTCGTTTGCTTCTTTATCTTCTCTCCACACCTTCAATTTTAGCATTTCCTTCTCGAATAGCTCACGTTTTTGTCCTTTTAAGTCCCACCACCTAATTTTTGGTATATCCCTTTTCCTTGGACGAGATGTCTTTCTCTTGATCTTGACATCTAGCACTAGCAACCTATGTTGACTAGTTAGAGCTTCACCCGGAATAACTTTGCAATCCTTACATAGGGTACGATTCGACTTTCTCGTAAGAAGAAAGTCGATTTGGCTACGGTTTTGTCCGCTCTTAAATGTCACTAAGTGTGATTCTCTTTTCTGGAAGTGGGTGTTTGCCAATATGAGGTCATACGACATGGCAAAATCTAGGATACTTTTTCCTTCTTCGTTCCTACTTCCATAGCCAAACCCTCCATGTACCATTTCATATCCTTGTCGATCCTTTCCGACATGTCCATTTAAATCTCCACCGATAAAAATAGACTCTTCGGGTGGTACACTTTGCATGAGCTCATCCATATCATCCCAAAACTTCTCTTTACACTCACTATCTAATCCTATTTGCGGGGCATAGGCGCTAATTACGTTAATAGCTTCTCCTTCTACAACTAATTTCACTAGGATGATCCTATCGCCTACTCGTTTCACTGCAACCACCGACTCCTTCAGAGATCTATCTAGGATAATGCCCACCCCATTCCTATTTCGTTCTTGACCCGAATACCATAATCTAAAACCAGATCCGGAGAGATTCCTCGAGCAACCATCTCATCAAACAGTTCAAGTGCCTCACGCAATCGTCCCGAGTTACTGAATCCATTAATCAGGTCACCAAAAACAATAACATTAGGTGCAACTCCATGGTCTATCATTTTCCGAAATGCAGCCATTGCTCTATCCATTGAACAGCTCTTGATAAGTGAATGGATAATCATCTGGTAAGCAAGCCCATTAGCCTCGCAACCACTATCCCCACCAAGCCTGTTCTCGGACATTTTGTCAAACATTTGGACTGCGTCAAAAACTTTCCCTTCCGAGCACAGACCTTTCATCAAAATGGAAACCGTTACTAAGTCGGCTTCCAGACCTCTCTTCATAATATCACCCAAAACACCAAACCCATAATCAATTTTCCTCAGGTGACAAAAAGCATTGATAAGGATAGTCGATGTATACAAATCGGACTTAACGCCTTCGTCCCTCATCCTCTTACACATGGACGGCACTTCCGAATACCCTTTGAGCTTCGAGACCGAACCCAACACATGATTAAAAGTACCGAGCGAAGGGACGGGTCTTGTCTCAATAAGTTTATCGAAGTAAAAAAGGGCACCTTCAAGGTTCAGCTCGCCCGATTTGCATAGTCGCTTCACCTCGAGTTCAAATCCGCTGGGAAACTGCGGACTTTTTCGTTGTATGCAGTCTCGGATCCTTCGAAAGAGCGAAGCCGGCGAAGAGATTGATCGAATACTATCCGAAGAAAAAGATTTGGCTCCTATGATTCTCGACATCGTGAAAGTAACAGAACACTTCTGTTGTTTCCAGATCACACACGACGACAGCAGAGCTTCTTTGCTCTAATTGGTTTTCTTTCTCTATTTTCTTTTTTTATGCCCCTATAGTTTCCCTAAAGTAGAAAATCGACCCTAACATATTAATGCGATCTAAAATACCCCTGCGGTGGTAAAACATCAATTGTTCCGGTAATTTGGTTTTAGACCAAACAAATGAGACTGTGAGAGTAATTTACAGACCCATCTACAAGTATGATATCGCGATAAAGATTGTGGAGATACGAAATTGCATTAAGAGTCTCCCTAGAAAAATTTGAAATTTTCATAATTAAAAAATCTATCATTTTATGCTATCATATAACCAAAGCTATGTTTTTCCATTAGAAATAAAGGGAAAATCAATCAACTTTGTGCCAGATTCGTTAATTAAATCAAGAATTAAACAACTCATATATATTGGTTTAGAATGTGACTTTCATTGTTGTATGCTAACTGGACAAAATAACCGAATCGACTCGATCGATATATATTCAAACCGAACCGAACCGATTAAAATAATATAACCGATTAGATATGAATATTTCAAACCCGAATTAATTGGATCCGAAATTATCATAAACCGAATATGAATTAACCGTAATTGAATATAATTGTTTATCTATCTATATATCATCAATTAATATACAATATTTTCTAAATCTAATTAGAAAAATTAGTTAATAATATTGTTTTATAACCATAGTATATACCAAAATGAGGTATGTATGTATTTTAATTTAATTATTGATGTATGACATTTGTATTAGAAATACTGTTTTTGTTATTTTTGTAAGACAATTGATTAATTTTTTGTCGATTTTTTTGTTTAGATAAACTAGAACCAAACCAGATCCGAACCGAATTTGAATCCGAACCAAACCAATTAAAATAATATATCCGGTTGGATATTAATATTTTAAATCTGAAATAATCGAACCCAAATTAACTGAATCCAATTAAACCGAACTGATTCGATCACCTACCCCAACGCTAATTCCGATTAAACTATATAGTTTGAAAATGTTAATAGAACTCTCGTCAAACGAAACAAAAAAGATCATCATCTTATACGAAAACCTATCGATACCAACATCAATAATTGACAATTTATATAATGCTTGTACAATTTATAATAAGAGTAAACAAATCTATACAACGTATCAATTAAAGAAATATTTGAATTCCATACCCTCAATAAATACAATTCATCTATTATACTATTTCTAATAAGTGCTCTTCTAAATGATTATTGATTGGATCTAACTACAACAAATTTAGAATGATCTTTTTAAAACTCATTTTACTTCAAATTTTCTGAGATCCGTTTTTTGTAAAAAAAAAATTATATTTCTTAAACTAAACTGGAAGTCATTACTAATATATTTGCAAATTACTACAGTAATTTAACATAAAACAAATTATTAGAGCGATTAATGTTTTTCTACGGCAGGTTGTTTTAGATAGCATTAATAGTTTAGGTTCGGTTTTCTACTTTGGAGATATTGGAGGAGTTGAGAAAGAAAATAGAGAAATAAAACCAATAGCTTTGGGAAGGCTCTCCCTGTCGTGTGTGACGACAGACAGCTTTGAAGTGTTCCGATGTCGAGAATCATGGGAGCCAGATCTCTTTCTTCAGATAGTTGTCGATCACTCTCTTCCTTGTCTTCGGTCTTTCAAAGAACCAGTGCTCAGATTCCCTGCGGATTTGAACTCGAGGTGAGGCGGCTATGCAAATCGGGTGAGCTGAACCTTGAAGGTGCTCTTTTTTACTTCGATAAGCTTATTGAGACAAGACCCATCCCTTCGCTTGGTACTTTTAACCAAGTGTTGGGTTCGGTCTCGAAGCTCAAAGGGTATTCGGAAGTGCCGTCCATGTATAAGAGGATGAGGGACGAAGGCGTGAAGTCCGATTTGTATACATCGTCTATCCTGATCAATGCTTTTTGTCATCTGCGGAAGATAGATTATGGGTTTGGGGTTTTGGGTGATACTATGAAGAGAGGTCTGGAAGCCGACTCAGTAATGGTCTCTGACTTTGGTGAAAGGTCTGTGTTCGGAAGGGAAAGTGTTTGATGCAGTTCAAGTGTTTGATAAAATGTCTGAGAAAGGGCTTCGTGCGGATACTATCATTTACAATTCTATGATTCATGGATACTGCAAACTAGGAATGTGGGAAGAAGTTGCAAAGATGATCCAGAAAATGGCAAGAGAAGGGCTTTCACCGGATGTTTATACTTATAGCATTTTGATTGATAGTTTGTGCAAAGTCAAGAAGGTGAATGAAGCGATTCAAGTGTTCGAATCCATGTTGGATCGAGGTATCAAGCCCAGTTTGCATACATATAGCCCGCTTTTGGCTGGTCTTTTTACGGTCAACAGGTCAAAGGATGTCGTTGAGTTATTTGAATCATTGAGGCATGGAAACCTTCGGCTTAATGCTGTTATCTACAACACAATGATCGCCGGCTATTTCAAGCATGGAGAAACTAAGGAAGCATTGAAGCTCTTAAGAGAAATGATTCATGAAGGATTGAAACCTAACGAGTTTACTTACACCACTCTTATTCATTTTGTAAGCCAATCAGGAGATCTACAGGTTGCGCAAGAAATCTTTGATTCAGCATACAAGTCTGGTCAGTCTCCTGACATATATTCATACGCTGCCCTCCTTAACGGTTTGATAATAAATGGGAAACTGGAAGAAGCACGGAAAAAATTTGATGAAATTATAGGTATGGGTTTGGTGCCCGATGTTGTAACCTACAACACGATGCTCCATGGCCTATGCAAAAGTAAGAAGCTATCTGAAGCTAGAAAGTTGCTCGTTGATATGGAGACAAAGGGTTGTTCTCCGGATGCCATTTCATTTAACACTGTTCTTTTGGGTTTCCTTAAGGGTGATGAGATTGAAGATGCAGTCCATCTTCTTGAGAGCATGCTTGAGAGGAACTTCTCTCCCAATAAAGCTGTCAAGTCCAAGTTAAGTCGCATTTTTGCAGATTCTGAGGGTCGTAGAACTCTTCAGGCGCTTATGGGGAGAAGATTGATAAGTGTCCCACATTGGAAAATGAGAGGGATTTGGGCCAATATATAAGTCCAGGATTGTTAGAATAGAGTTATTAAACTGCCGCTTGTATTCCACTACCAAAAGAAATACAAGACTCAGAGAGGCATACCTCTCTCACACCATGCATAAGCTTCTACTTTTCTCGATACCCTTACTCAACGCAATAAGGAAAATAGATATAGGCCTTTCTCAGCAACAGAATGCTGAGGTGGCAGGATCTACTGAAATCTTTCTAAAACACGCATATGAAAAGGAATAACCGAATTGCCTAGGTAATGATTCCTTCATCAGGAATGATCCCCTGCAACGTCTCCTTGCCAGCTCCGTGTTCCTCTTTCTCAACGGCATTTGGGCCCACACTATGCTCCTCAGCTTCTTCCCCTTCCCTGACCTTCCTCTTCTTCCTTGTATAAACCCGTAGAGGCGTATCAATACCCCCCGCGTAAAGTCTCAGCTTGTCCCCAAGCTGAAAATTAGGGAATTGACTGTTGAATATATCCGCCTGCTCCCAGGAAGCATCATGTTTCGGCATGTCCACCCAATCAATTAGAACTTCCAAGAATCCCTGAGAATTGTAACGTGTGTCCAAGATAGCCGCAGGTTCCAGCAAAATCTGCATCTCGGCAGACAAATTCCTTGGCAGGGAAGTTGGCAGAAAGGAATTCCCCTGGGCTGGCTTCAACTGAGAGATATGAAAGACAGGATGAATATGCGAGTCCTCCGGTAGTTTGAGTCGATACGCCGTTTTTCCCACACGAGCGAGAATCTCAAACGGGCCATAGAATCGAGGGGCAAGTTTCTGATGGCTCCTCCGAACCACTGAATGTTGCCTATACGGTTGCAGCTTAAGAAACACCCAGTCTCCCACTTTCAAATCCAATTCCCGTCTTGAAGCATCAGCATATTGCTTCATCCGGTTCTGTGCTTTAGACAAATTATGCCGGAGTTCAACCAACATCGCATCCCTCTCTGTCATCTCCTTTTCCAACTCAAAATTTGCAGTCGATCCCGCCTCAAAACGCAGAAGAGTCGGGGGTTCCCGGCCATAGACAGCATGAAATGGTGTAGTGTTGAGGGAGGAATGGTACGAAGTATTATACCAATATTCCGCCCATGGAACGAACTTAGCCCAACGTCTCGGATGCTCAATGGCGTAACAGCGTAGATAAGTCTCGAGGCAGCGATTCACCACTTCTGTCTGCCCGTCAGTTTGTGGGTGGAAAGCGGTACTGAATTTAAGCGTTGTTCCCACGAGCCGGAAAAGTTCCTTCCAAAAGTAGCTAAGGAAGATTTTGTCGCGGTCGGAAACAATGGATCTAGGATATCCATGCAACCTGATAATCTCCTTGACAAAAACATCTGCCACCTGAACTGCGTTGAAAGGGTGCTTCAAGCAAATGAAATGCGCATATTTACTGAGGCGATCCACCACCACCATCAAAACATCAAAACCTGCAGACTTAGGCAAACCTTCAATGAAGTCCATCGATACATCCTCCCAAATTTGATTAGGAATTGGAAGCGGTTGCAGCAACCCCGCAGGAGCTAAGGTCGAGTACTTAGTCTGTTGACAAATTAAACATTCAGCAACATACTTCTGAATGACCGTTCTCATCCCCTTCCAATAGAAAATAGCCTGAATACGCTTTAAGGTTTTTAATAACCCCGAGTGGCCCCCTACCGGTCCGTCGTGAAATTCCTTCAAAATAGTCGGAATGAAGGCAGAAGTTGCTGGAATCACAAAGCGATCGCGAAACAACAGAATACCTTGGCGAATATGGTAACCTCCTGGTGCAACCTGATGATTTAACAGCTTTGTGAAAATGGCAGAGAGCTCCGAATCGTTTTCCACTTCTTTATGCAGTTCTTGTAACTGTAGAACAGAAGGCACCGTCAATGTAAAGAGAGTGGACAGAGTAGACATACCCGCCTGAGTAGGAATGCGGGAAAGTCCATCCGCCGCCTTGTTTTGAATCCCCGGCTTATACAAGATTTCAAAATCATAACCGAGCAATTTCGACAACCACTTCTGATATTCCAGACTTATTTCCCGCTGTTCGAGCAAAAATTTCAGAGCTTTCTGATCCGTGTGTACCACAAAGTGACGGCCTAAGAGATAATGGCGCCACCGCTGAACTGAGAGAACTATGGCCATAAGTTCCCGTTCATAAATAGGCTTCAATTGGTCCCGAGGTGACAGACAGTGACTATAATAGGCAATAGGGCGATTTTTCTGCATCAATACCGCTCCAATTCCCTGACCCGAAGCATCCGCCTCTACCACGAAGGTGTCAGAGAAATCCGGAAGAATCAAAACCGGTGTTGTCACCATAGCCCTTTTCAACGCATCAAAAGCCTGTGAAGCTTCTAAAGTCCAGTCAAAACTATCCTTCTTCAATAATGCTGTCAAAGGCCGAGCTAAGATGCCATAATTTCTGACGAAACGTCGATAATAACCAGTGAGGCCAAGAAAACCCCTCAATTCTTTAACATTCTTCGGATACGGCCATTCCCTCATTGTTGCCGTCTTAGTGGGGTCTGTAAGGACTCCCTCCTGATTGATCACATGACCCAAATATTCCACTTGATGCCTCCCAAACTGACATTTCCGACGATTGGCGAACAAATTGTTTTCCGCCAACACCGAAAGAACCTCTCGCAAGTGGATAATATGATCTTCCAATGTCTTGCTGTACACCAGTATATCATCAAAGAACACTAAAACAAAACGTCGGAGGAAAGGCCGGAATACCTGATTCATAGTGGCCTGAAACGTTGCTGGCGCGTTGGTGAGGCCGAACGGCATCACTAAAAATTCGTAATGGCCGTCGTGGGTTCTAAAAGCGGTCTTGTGAACATCCTCTGGGCACATCCTGATCTGATGATACCCTGACCTTAAATCCAGCTTGGAAAAAATCTTTGCGCCAAATAACTCGTCCAGCAACTGGTCTATCATCGGTATGGGGAATTTGTCAGGCACCGTAACCTTGTTGAGTGCCCTGTAATCTACACAGAATCGCCAGCTTCCGTCTTTTTTCTTAACAAGCAGAACCGGGCTAGAGAACGGACTGTTGCTCGGTTGAACAATGCCTGCCGATAACATTTCCCGCACCAAACGCTCTATTTCCTCTTTATGAGCATGGGGATACCTATATGGGCGTACACTGACAGGTCCCGCATCAGCCTTCAAAGTAATCCGGTGGTCGACTTCCCGCGAAGGAGGTAAACCAGAAGGTTCATCGAAAACTCTGGAAAATTGCGAAATGAGCTGGTCCGTGATTAAAGGAGAATCTGAGGCATCGGAGAGCTCCCGATGACTCGAGGCAACTTCGACAACATACCCAATCTCGCTATCTGCCACCGTCTTGAATAACGACTTAAGTGTAATGAAGGAGTGCTGAAGTTGCGGATTACCTTTCAAGGTGACAGCAGTCTGACCTGTAAGAAACCGCATTTCCAACTTCTGGAAATCCATTTGGAAACGCCCGAGTGTTTGTAGCCATTGAACCCCCAATATCACATCAGCACTGCCAAGCTCCAAAGGAAGGAAATCATCCACAATTTCCAGATGTTGTATGCGAAGTAGAACTGCCTTACAAACCCCCACTGATTGGACTGTCAGACCTGTACCCAGAGACACCCCATAACCCGGCGTTTTTGTCGGGCGGAGACGGACCTTGTCGAGCACATGTAGAGCGATGAAGTTGTGGGTTGCGCCTGTGTCGACTAAAACCACTACCGCCTGATTCTTAATGTATCCTTCCACCTTGAGGGTAGTCGGCGAAGTAATTCCGACCGCCGACTGGAGAGAGAGGACGGCGACTTCCATTTGCTCCCCGAGGTTGTCTGATTCCGGCTCCTGCTCCTCGTCGGCCGGCAACTCAAACTCTCCCTCTTCCTTCACCACAATAACTTGGAGTTCGCGATTCTTACACCGGTGACCGAAAAAATATTTTTCGTCACAACGAAAACAGACACCGCGACGCCGCTTGTCATCCAATTCCGCATCTGAGAAACGCCGAAATGGAGCTCGAGTGATTGCTGGCAGTGGATTAGGGTTCGCCGTCTTAGGCCCAGGGAGTCCCGCAACAACTTGGTCTTGTTTGTGAGAAGACCCAAAACGATTAGGCCCATTGGGCCCTGGAGAAGGCAGAGAAACTGTGCGAAAAGGAGAGGGCCCAAGAGACGGCGCTGATCTCCCTGTGCGATAGTCGTTATGCTTCGCCGTCGGCGCACACACTGGGCTCGCATCAAGGCGAAGAGCCGTCTTGATGGTCTGTTTCAAACCCTGTGGTTCCAAAACTTCCAACATGTTACGGACCTCCGTGCGAAGACCAGTGATAAAAGCACTCTCCACCACCCATTCTGGTGCTTTCGGTAACTGCGGTAACAATTCCTCCAACTCCCGTAGGTAATCCACCACGGATCCAGATTGGCGTAATGAGAACAGACGATTATTCACGCTCCCCACATGTTGGTCAGCAAAGCGTTCCATCAATCGGGACTTAAAATCCTTCCAATCCACAAAAGGATCTTCCTCGTTCTGCCATTCGAACCAGTTCAACACCTCCCCATCAATGCTCAACGTCGCCAGCGGAAGCTTGTCAGGCTCCCTAATAGCCCCGTATTTAAAATAGCGCTCAGCGCGCACTATCCAACCAGTCACGTTTGTCCCCTCAAATACCGGCATCTCCAATTTCTTAAGGGTCAAATCATTACCGGTGAGTAGCGAAGCACGTTTCGGATCCTCCACCTCTATCTGAGGAAGCACTTGTGGTACCGGTGAAACAAAAGGTTCCGACTCACCGATGACCAAGGGAGATTTGCCCTTGTCGATCGGTTGTTGACTGCAAGAAGAATGCTCCGCCCGCGTCCACGAAGTTGTTTTCTGTTTTTCCGACAACTCCTGACGTTCTAGCATAACACACAGCTTATCCATGATCGGACCCATGGCCTGTAGCTTGCCGACGTCTTTCTGAATCTGGGCAACATCACCTCTGATATCCCCCACGTTGCCACGAAGCTCACCCAAGGAAGCTTCAAATCTTCCCAGCTTTGAAGTCACCAATTCTTCCAGCTTGTCCATCCGCGATGAATCTTTTGGAGGCATGGTAGATCGGTGCTCTGATACCAGGATTGTTAGAATAGAGTTATTAAACTGCCGCTTGTATTCCACTACCAAAAGAAATACAAGATTCAGAGAGGCATACCTCTCTCACACCATGCATAAGCTTCTACTTTTCTCGATACCCTTACTCAACGCAATAAGGAAAATAGATATAGGCCTTTCTCAGCAACAGAATGCTGAGGTGGCAGGATCTACTGAAATCTTTCTAAAACACGCATATGAAAAGGAATAACCGAATTGCCTAGGTAATGATTCCCTCATCAGGAATGATCCCCTGCAACGTCTCCTTGCCAGCTCCGTGTTCCTCTTTCTCAACGGCATTTGGGCCCACACTATGCTCCTCAGCTTCTTCCCCTTCCCTGACCTTCCTCTTCTTCCTTGTATAAACCCGTAGAGGCGTATCAAAGATCTTCGAGTAAAATTGATATAATCAGGTCAGGAAAAAAGACTAAACGTACACCACAATCATTCTGTGTTTGAGCACAAAAATTACTTCCTTAAGCAATAGATGATGATGTGCAGAGAGGATAACTAGTTGCCTAGAGATCTCTTTTAGTGGCTGATGATCCGGAATACAGAATATAAATCTGTTCAGTCTGACGGAAAGTCTCCGTCCAAGAGATTCTACCCGCGTGCAGCTGTCTTCCGACCACGCCCTCTGCTGGTGGAGTGGAGTGTTACCTTCATTGAAGTGTCTTCCTCACTCTGTGCATCATCACTTTCACCGTCAAAGCTTTCAGTTTTATCTGATGTCTCTTCCTCTTGAAGCCTTTTCCCCGAGTTTTCTTGTTCTGATAACTTGTCTCGTAGTTCTCTAAGCTTTGCTTTTTTCGCATTCAATACAGAAAGGAACTGCATGTACAACAGACAGACTTAGTTTTCTGTCGAATGTACATGTGATGTCCTGTAATGTTGATGCTTCTACTTTCAATAAATTCTGCTTTCAGGTTGATGATTCTACTTTCAAGTTTAAACAAATGCTATAGACGTGTCCTGTAATGGGCAATGAAGTGGAGAATGACCCTTGTCTCCATACACACCTTTGCATAAGTTGCTGTCTCGAATTCTCTTTTCTCATTGCAGAGAGTTTCTCCTTGAGCGAGACATTTATCTGCCTCGGCTTTCATCTTCTCGAAAGACCTAGTCTTGCTCACAACTTCTTCCTGTACAGTAGGACATTAAAAAGCAACCAGTTGAGACTTTTGAAGACAATGTCAAATACCAGTTGCCACTTCCTATTGAAGATGAAGAAGTGGACATAAAGGAGGGGGGGTAGTGGTGTGTGACAACTGATATAAAACCTAATGTCATAATGCATGTAATCTAAGAAATGTATCAGATATTCCTGACTGGTAAAACAAGAACAAAAGAAAAGAAAAACATTACTACATGAATATGTACTAAACACAATCGAAAAGATAAAAGACGGGCTAGATCGTAGTGTAGGCTCGTACACTTAGTCTTATATTCGCCTCCATAAGAAAATCCAAGATCCCGGAAGTGGTCTTTTTGCAATCAGGTGATGGTTTACATTTCCATCGCCACTCAAGTTTAGTCCCTTCCTTCTCAAACGTCCAAGAGAGCTGCAACCCATCAAACTAACACCATCAACAAAGCCAAAGCTCAAATCTTTCGCTGTCTGAAGAAGAACACTTTCAGTCATCAAGATTCTGCAATGAATCATATGAACCCAAAGCCAAAGGGCCATTCTAGATAAGATTCAAAAGTGCAATGCTTTCTCTCGGAAGGAAAAACCTTCTACATAAAAACATGCCTAAAACCATATTTCCTCCATGAATCTTCCAACACAAAGCAGTATCAGTCTTTCTCTGCAATATCTCCATCCATCCAAAATCATCCTAAGCTCTCGAGACATAACGTAGAACAAAGAATTTTAACACCTAAACCTTCCTAACTTTGCTCATGTAGGTCAAATCAGATTACTCTGATCAAAGGCAGTTAATTTCTCAGCTAATGGCAAATACTGAATCAGCCAAATAGAAGCCAGAAGAAACATTGAACTGACCCGTTTAGACCCGTCAAGAGCATCAGAGAATCCGTAGACGGAACCAGCCTGCTGAAACCCTAAATACCTCTCGGCCAGCTCGACATACGCCGTCGCAGGTTGGTCCCATTGCGCCGCACGCTCCGCAACCTCCTCCTTGCTCGCTTCAGTTCCCCAAAAATCGACAAACCCATTTTCAGGAGAAACAAAAACCGAATCAGATTCCCGGAATTCTTTCAATTCATTACCAAAGAACCCTGTAGTGATTGGATTTTAGGGTTTTTACCATCGCAAACCCAAGCTTGGGCTCCATCCGTGATGGAGAGATCGAAACGAGAGCGGTACCAAGTGCCCTTCACGAAAATCGGATCGACGCCGGCGATTTCGAGCTTCAGACAAGTGTGCCTCGTCGTCTCCGATTCGTCCATTGTTACCATTCGACGTCGAAACTTTCCCGGTCGCGTCCGCCGACAAATGAAATAACTCCGTCGAGAAAGACAACGAAAGTAAGGAAACCATTTGCTGATGTGGCTGATGAGTCAGCATATTGGCCTTGCAAGTTTGGTTTCGTATGGTCGCTGACGTGGCATAACACGGTTAAAATATCGTAATATCCACTGTAAATTGCAATCCGCTCTTCACATCTATTAGACCTGAAAAAATACCCAGAAATTTTCACTGTAAATTTTCTTATTAGAATCGAATAATAAACTATTATAAATGCTATTAATCATCATTATGTAAGAATTTTAGTTTTATATATATATATATATATATTTGTGTGTGTATATGTTATTAAACTGCCGCTTGTATTCCAAAAGAAATACAAGATTCAGAGAGGCATACCTCTCTCACACCATGCATAAGCTTCTACTTTTCTCGATACCCTTACTCAACGCAATAAGGAAAATAGATATAGGCCTTTCTCAGCAACAGAATGCTGAGGTGGCAGGATCTACTGAAATCTTTCTAAAACACGCATATGAAAAGGAATAACCGAATTGCCTAGGTAATGATTCCCTCATCAGGAATGATCCCCTGCAACGTCTCCTTGCCAGCTCCGTGTTCCTCTTTCTCAACGGCATTTGGGCCCACACTATGCTCCTCAGCTTCTTCCCCTTCCCTGACCTTCCTCTTCTTCCTTGTATAAACCCGTAGAGGCGTATCAAAGATCTTCGAGTAAAATTGATATAATCAGGTCAGGAAAAAAGACTAAACGTACACCACAATCATTCTGTGTTTGAGCACAAAAATTACTTCCTTAAGCAATAGATGATGATGTGCAGAGAGGATAACTAGTTGCCTAGAGATCTCTTTTAGTGGCTGATGATCCGGAATACAGAATATAAATCTGTTCAGTCTGACGGAAAGTCTCCGTCCAAGAGATTCTACCCGCGTGCAGCTGTCTTCCGACCACGCCCTCTGCTGGTGGAGTGGAGTGTTACCATTCGACGTCGAAACTTTCCCGGTCGCGTCCGCCGACAAATGAAATAACTCCGTCGAGAAAGACAACGAAAGTAAGGAAACCATTTGCTGATGTGGCTGATGAGTCAGCATATTGGCCTTGCAAGTTTGGTTTCGTATGGTCGCTGACGTGGCATAACACGGTTAAAATATCGTAATATCCACTGTAAATTGCTGTTACCATTCGACGTCGAAACTTTCCCGGTCGCGTCCGCCGACAAATGAAATAACTCCGTCGAGAAAGACAACGAAAGTAAGGAAACCATTTGCTGATGTGGCTGATGAGTCAGCATATTGGCCTTGCAAGTTTGGTTTCGTATGGTCGCTGACGTGGCATAACACGGTTAAAATATCGTAATATCCACTGTAAATTGCAATCCGCTCTTCACATCTATTAGACCTGAAAAAATACCCAGAAATTTTCACTGTAAATTTTCTTATTAGAATCGAATAATAAACTATTATAAATGCTATTAATCATCATTATGTAAGAATTTTAGTTTTATATATATATATATATATATTTGTGTGTGTATATGTTATTAAACTGCCGCTTGTATTCCAAAAGAAATACAAGATTCAGAGAGGCATACCTCTCTCACACCATGCATAAGCTTCTACTTTTCTCGATACCCTTACTCAACGCAATAAGGAAAATAGATATAGGCCTTTCTCAGCAACAGAATGCTGAGGTGGCAGGATCTACTGAAATCTTTCTAAAACACGCATATGAAAAGGAATAACCGAATTGCCTAGGTAATGATTCCCTCATCAGGAATGATCCCCTGCAACGTCTCCTTGCCAGCTCCGTGTTCCTCTTTCTCAACGGCATTTGGGCCCACACTATGCTCCTCAGCTTCTTCCCCTTCCCTGACCTTCCTCTTCTTCCTTGTATAAACCCGTAGAGGCGTATCAAAGATCTTCGAGTAAAATTGATATAATCAGGTCAGGAAAAAAGACTAAACGTACACCACAATCATTCTGTGTTTGAGCACAAAAATTACTTCCTTAAGCAATAGATGATGATGTGCAGAGAGGATAACTAGTTGCCTAGAGATCTCTTTTAGTGGCTGATGATCCGGAATACAGAATATAAATCTGTTCAGTCTGACGGAAAGTCTCCGTCCAAGAGATTCTACCCGCGTGCAGCTGTCTTCCGACCACGCCCTCTGCTGGTGGAGTGGAGTGTTACCATTCGACGTCGAAACTTTCCCGGTCGCGTCCGCCGACAAATGAAATAACTCCGTCGAGAAAGACAACGAAAGTAAGGAAACCATTTGCTGATGTGGCTGATGAGTCAGCATATTGGCCTTGCAAGTTTGGTTTCGTATGGTCGCTGACGTGGCATAACACGGTTAAAATATCGTAATATCCACTGTAAATTGCAATCCGCTCTTCACATCTATTAGACCTGAAAAAATACCCAGAAATTTTCACTGTAAATTTTCTTATTAGAATCGAATAATAAACTATTATAAATGCTATTAATCATCATTATGTAAGAATTTTAGTTTTATATATATATATATATATATTTGTGTGTGTATATGTTAATGGGACCGGCCACTTATTTGGTTGGCTAGTGTTTCTTTTACTCCACTCACCTCACATACACAGCTCACTGAAAACCCCCAATCTTATTGAGTCGTCCACATATATATACATATATACACGTATATTCCATAATATCCCACAATTACCCTTTGAATCACTCTTGTATCTCCACATCCACTTGTATTTTGCTGCCAATATTGAGGGGCATATTTGGAAATTCAGGATGAGTGAGTGAGGTGAGTTATATCAAATTAAGAAGAGGGTGGTGGCAAGGCATTTTCACAAGAGTTAAGGTGGTATAATCAAATCAACATGTCCCCAATGAGGTTTGTTCATTAGGATCTCAATATCTTCTCTCTCTCTCTGATTATTATCCGTTAATTTTCATCTGATTTTAATAAAATATCCTCTTGGTCATTAGATGAATCATGAATGTATATATAAGACTAATAAAAGTTTCTTTTTCTTTCAATATTGGAATTTGCAAAGTATAAATTTCTAAAATGTATACAAATGGAAATTCGGATCTTGATATTGATATCATAACATTTTGAATCCATAAAATTCATCCTATAACAATTTTAGTTTTGCACATAAAATGTGTCCCCTATATACCTTAAAGATAGTAACAATGGCTTTATTAATCAATAGTTTTATTATTTTCCAAAGTTTACACCTTTTTTTTTTCTCTCTCCCTATAATTGGGTTATCGCAAGTAATGGCAAAACATGTTGTAACTTGTATCTTTGTCTCATCATCGATTCTTGCAGTGAAAAACTTTGTAGACGGCGTTAACTGACGGCGTTAACACCGACGACGAGGGAGAGAGAGAGAGAGCGATGGTATAAAAAAACAAAGCAACAGAAACGCATAACATAAAAAAAAACTCTGAAGAAACGCTCGGTGTAGAGAGAGAGAGAGAGGTTTTCGGTTTCTTCGCTTGTCACAAGAAAAATGGGTGAGAAAGATTTCTACTTTCTGTATTCTCTCCCTTTCTCCGATCGATTTCATCATGTATTTAGCCTCGTGAATCGGTTTTCGACCCTTGAGATCTCGGTTTCATCCGGTTTTCTCCCTTCTGGTTGATTGATCGTTGGTTGAGCTCAGCTCTTGATCTGGGAATCCTGTTTGCGTTCACATTTGCAAGTTTTTCTGGGTTTTGTTTGGATGCTTAGAAAATGAAAAAAAAATGGTAATTTTGCGATTTCTCAGTTCTGCATTTTCAGATGATGTTGGTGTGTCTTTAAGGTTTCCGAGAAATTGAATCTGGTTAGATGATGTTGTTTGAGACTTTAGTTGCATGTTCGAAAATGCAGGAAACTGTGGCTGTCGATTTCTGTAATTTGAGTTTCTGTGTGTTGTTGGGTTATTGATCCATTTGAATCTATATATATATATATATATATATATATATAGTGAAGTCATTAGTGAAGTAATATCTTTTTTAGGAAAATGCAAGACAGATAACTTAATCTTATGAGATTCAAGTTTTGATTTTGTTTTTATTCGTTTTGTGTCCGATTTCATCATAATTTCGAGCAAGAAATTTCCATTTCTATGTGAATCTTCACCCTGTTCTTTTTTCTGGAAATCCGGAGAATGATGCTTGATGCGTTCAAGTTAGGTGGACGTGCATACAATTCTTCATATAATTTAACTTATCTATCCAAAAATTCCATATTTGAATAATCATAATGTGCATGCTTAGGACTAGAATGATTTTAAAACAATTTCACTTTTGCCTTGAACAAAATGTTCATCTTAGTTCCTTTGCCTTGTCTTTGAGCTGTCTTTCAGGTCCCACATCGGTTAGCCTAATGCTTTTTTTTCCCGATCATAATTTAGATGGTTAGTTGGAGTCTTGGTCATCATTTGGAATTAAGCATGCTTAATCCTACTCGGTACTCGCTTTCGTTATTGTCCTTAGTACGAAACTTGAGTTGTCTTGTCTGTGACATACTTTTGTCTCTGAATCTTGTTTAATGCACTTAATTTTCGGAAATTTCCATTTTTTTAGCGGCAAATCTTGGATAAATCTATTCTTGCTGCTACTTTGTTGTATTAATCATTGTTCTTGGATCTTATTGTGTGATGACAGTAGATTCTGTCTTGCAGATTTGACGGATAGACAAGAAACAGATATCTGTATGGACAAGGAGCCAGACGGTGTGATAGTTTACGCTAATGGTGACCCGAATGATCCAACCCCGGTAGTTTCCGACCCTTCCCTTGATTCAGAATCACACGAGAATGCCAACGGGAATCCGGAACCCCATTATACTGAAGAGAACTCTGAAGGAAATGAATACGATGTGAAAGAATGCACTAACGAAGTTCCAGTCGGTATGGTTTTGGAAGACAGCAATACCGAGAAAATTACCCCGGAAAAGGGAAATGGCTGTTCCAAGTCTGTGATTAAGGCCAATGAATACGGTTCTGATGCTAATAAGGCAAAGTTATCTGCGAAAGATGGATCAAAACCAGGCTGCAGAATTAACAAAACGAAGCAGCACACTGTTCCACAGCCATTTGCTTTAGCAACCGAGAAGCGGGCTTCATCTGGGATCCGCTCATTTACTGCCGATGGATTGAAAAAGTCCTCAAATGGGTACAGTAAAGTTCAAAATCAGGTTTCAAAAGTGAGGATGCTATCTATTATATCCAATCACTTATAGGATATTCCTGTATTTTTGTTCACCTGAGCTTATGTTCTTGTTCTTTCATATCTATTGCAATGCAGATGCAGAGGAAGCCATTGCAGCCGAAAAACAAGAAGCATTCTGATGAAGAAGATTCTTGTTCCGTTGCATCTTAGTATATCCCTCACCTTACCTTCAAGATTTCTACTTGTTTATCTCCTCAATGAGTGTAATTGTAAATGATGTTTTACAATGACAATTTTACAGTGCCACATCGGTTGCACGAACTGTTAAGTCAAGACCTACAGTTGCATCAGCACCCGTGTTTCGTTCCACTGAGCGGGCAGAGAAGAGGAAGGAGGTTACGTAATTCCTTTATAAGTTTAAACGGATTGCACTTTTTTCCCTTCATATCTCTTCTTTGGATTTATTTTTTGTTACTATCCATCAGTTCTATACTAAACTGGAGGAGAAACAACAAGCTTTGGAGGCTGAGAGGACGCAGAGTGAAGCAAGAAACAAGGTCCCGATCTCTATTTCCTTTAACTTTGCATTTATAACGACGCTGAGAAACATGTGTTTGTTACTTCTGAGTTGCCCTTCTTCCTTGCATTTTGCTGTTCAAACACCGAGCTCTTAGGAAGAAAGAGAGGCGGCTATAAGGCAACTAAGGAAGAGTTTGATGTTCAAAGCTAGCCCGATGCCAAGCTTCTACCATGAAGGGCCTCCTCCCAAGGCTGAACTTAGGAAGGTACGCAATACATTCCAGTCTCTGTGTTCGATGTCCCGACACTTCCTAGACCAAATCTGATTCCATCTGAGGCCAATCCTGCAAACCCTTCTGCAAAAACGAACCCTAAATCCAATTAATGCGAGCACCGAGCCGAGTTTGACATTTTGTTTAAATGTTTTTGACAGCCACCTCCTACTCGGGCAAAGTCACCGAAGCTTGGACGGAGGAAATGCAGTGGCGAAGGCCTGAACCCGAGCGACAAAGGAAACAAGGCGAAAGGAGCTCGTCAGCCCGGAAACTGGCAGAGTCTAGATAACTTCCAGACCGCCGAAGATGAGCATTCCGACCAGACAGATGGGTTTGTCTCTGTTGAGATAAACCAGCATTGTGAACCAGAGATTGGTTCATCCTGCTGATATTTCCGACCCTGAATCTTCTCATCTTCTTCATGGCATGGTATGTTCCTTGAAGCGAAATGTTCATCCATTGTCCTAAGGGTTGTGTGTGTGGTTTTTTAACTTATGTTTTTTTTGAAGTGTAAATGTCTGTAATTTAATAATTGTGATGTTTGTCCTCAAAAAGTTTTCTTGCCGAACTTGATATACGAATATCTTTATAAAATGTTTATTTGTGAGGATATTTCCATTTATAAATACCTTATTGTTACGTTTGCTTATTTTTTTATTTAAATAAAACAAATAGATGTAATCATTTATTAGAAGTTGGTGGTTCTTCCCACTAGGGATGGGCATGGGTCGGATACCTGGAAAAATCGAGAGATTTGGATTTGGATTCAGGAGGTTCGGGTATTTAGCTATAAGATTTGTATCCGGTATTTGGTATTTACGAGTATCCGGGGTACGGACAGTGGCAGATCTAGACAAATTTATAAGAGGGGGCAAAAAATTTACACAGGGACAAGAAATTCACACATATAATTTTATAGTCTCAAATTTTAATTTTATGGGAGCATTTGATGATTTTACTCATAATTTTGTCAAATTTATAAAGAAATTGATATTTTTACTCAACCCAAATGGGGCACATGCCTCCACTCCAATTCATGTAGATCCGCCACTGGGTACGAATATCGAATATCCAGAATAATAATCGGGTATTCGTGGGTATCTGGATCCGGATTTATTTAAGAAAAACAACAATATTCATAAATAAATTTTTCAAAGAATGAAGATATATTTATATAAATTGATGAATTATGATAAAATATATGAAACAAAAGATATAATAAGAGATAAATAATAATAAATTTAATTTTTTTAATTAATATTGAAACGTACAAAATTATTTAATCTAAAATAATTATATTTTATAAAAATGTTATATAAATATAAGATATAATTATTTACAATTATAATAGTCGGGTATCCGCGGATATCCGGTTTTAAAAATTCTATTATCCGGATTTGGATTCAGATTTACGAGTATTGAAAAATCTGGATTTAGATTCGGATTTAAAAATTACGAATATCCTAAAATCTGGTATCCGTGAGACAAGTATCTGACGGATACCCGATTTTCGGGTATTTGTGGGCAGCCCTACGTCCCACCATGTTGCAACTCCCCCAAAGCCCAAGGGAACAACCTTCTGTCAATGCCGTGTGAGGTGGACTGATGATGGGCCGTAAATGGGCCGAAAGATGCCACGTGGCGAAATATCAGAAGTTACCGGAACAAAACTAACTCAGAATCCGAATCCATAAGTTTCACGTTCTCCTCATTTTTTTCCTTCTCCCTCACGTGTATTTCACTTTCCTCTCTTTTTTTTTTTTTTCCGTTCACCAGTCTATTTAATTATCCCTTTAATTAAATTTTTTTTCCTCTCAAACACCTCTATATTATACTAATATAAGTTTCAACGATCAGTATTCAAAGAATTTTTAAAGTTTTGGTATTAAATTGAAAATATATATATTGATAAGAACGTAATGGAAACTATTATTTAATTCGGAATAAAAGATAAACGTAGTTAAACAAATTCTAAGGCGGCAAAATCTAAAAAGACGAGTTCGTCCATTTAATATTTTAGGGTTTAGGTTTTCCAATCAATTATTGCGAAACAAGTTTTCTCATTTTTTTTAAGGGATAATCACATAAAAATACCCGAACTTTTACAAAAATCTCAAATAAATATCCGAACTATAAAATTGTCATATAAATACCTGAACTTTTCAAAACTCTCACATAAATACACAGACTTTTAAATTTTTTCCAAATCAAACAAACGCAACTGGTGACTCAGCAAAAAACTGCCGTCTCAGCAAAAAAACTGCTGACTAATCATTCAAAAATATTATTAAATATTTAAATATTCATCTACGTATATTTAAATTAATATATGCATATAAATTCACATATATATACAAATATATATATATATATTAATTTTAAAATAATAATAATGCATTATTATTTTTAATAATTAAATTTATTTTTAGTATATATATTACTAATACATATATATTATTACTAATACATATATATTATAATAAAAATAATTATAATTATACATACATAATAATACATTATTATTATTTTAAACTTTTAAAATAATAATAATGCATTATTATTATTTTTATTTTTAGTAATATATATACATAATATATATTTAATTATAATTATTTTTATGTATTATTATTATTTTTAATAATAAATTTAATGATAATTATTTTTATTGTAATATATATGCATTAGTAATGATATATATATATATATATATGAATTTATATGTATATATTAATTTAAATATATGTAGATGAATATTTGGATATTTAATAATATTTTTGAATGCTGAGTCAGCAGTTTTTTGCTGAGTCAACAGTTTTTTTTGCTGAGTCAGCAGGTTTTTGCTGAGTTAGCAGTTGCGTTTGTTTGATTTGGAAAAAATTTAAAAGTTTGGGTATTTATGTGGGAGTTTTGTAAAAGTTCGGGTATTTTTATGCGATTACACCTTTTTTCAATGGTGGAATTAATATTATCTTCATCATCCGAAGGTGCACAACACGCGCTTCAACATGGCGCGTGTAAGACAAAATTCACGGTCCGCCACAACCACAACAGAAGTCGCAATCGCCTCCGTGGAGCTCTTGTTTATCCTTTTCATGAGAACTGCAAAATCTCAGAAACACCGTAACGAATTTAATTTTTAAATCTTTTTTATATTTTGGTAACGAATTTAATTTTAAATGTTATTGACTTTGAATAAATACCTCCAAATTTGCAAGAACAAATAGAGGGGATTCTCCTTCTTCTTCTCCTCCGTTCGGATTGGCTCGACTTCTCAGCGACGATCGCCAACGCCGATTTTCCCAGCGGGAATCTGACATATTCTCGGGAAAATTTTCCTGGTTTGTGGAAGAACCGCCCCAGAGCCATGGACGAGACCTTCTTCGATCTCATGGATTTTCTAAGGAACCCCTCTGTTACGGAGACATTCGTCGACATCTTGCTCTGCGCTGTCCCGATTTGGCTGGCCGTCATGATCGGGCTCTTGATCGGCTGGTCTTGGCGTCCTAGGTGGACCGGCTTGGTATACCTAGGGTTCCGTTCCAAGCTCCGGTTCCTATGGATCGCTCCACCGGTTTTCGGAGCTCGTCAGCTCTGGCTCGCTTTCTCCGCTCTCTCGGCGTTCTCCGTCTGCCGAACCATCTGGTCTCGTCTCCGCCCGAGTGCCGACAAATCCGCCGCCGGTCCGACTCCGGCCTCCACAGAGGAGGCTCTCCCGATCGACGGGACAGGACCAGTTCCGAGGTTAGTCTGGTCATGGAATGGGTACGATGTTGTGCATTTGCTGGGTCTGTCTCTGTAACAGATGATTTGTATTCTTCCTGCAAACCTACAAATTTACCTCGTTAGTAGTTTGATGACTGCATAAAGGTGGTGGCTTTCACTTTGCGTCGGCCTGTTCTTATGGAGACAAGTGGGTTTGCTCAACTTCAGTTAAGTGATGTCCCAAATCATTTCGTTGCAGAAACGGCCATGGGAGTAGGGAGGAGAAGCAGGAAGTGGTTGTGGAGAATGATTTGAAACATCTTCTGAATCTGCTTGAAGTGGGAAATGCAGAAAGAGAATGGCAATACATGATGGAGAAAACCACCGGTAATATGAGCTACCAGGCCTGGCGCCATGAGCCTGAGGTAGAATACGTGTAGTATACGCGTATAATTACACGAATACACGAAGAAATCGAGCTCGTGGCTCGGTGTAAACGAATCATATGTTCTGTCTGAAACTGGCTTTCGGGTTTTGCAGCACGAAAAAAAATAGGGTTCTTACTGAAAGGTTTTGATATGTTTTGTCAGACGGGTCATGTGGCGTACCGTAGCCGGACAGTCTTTGAGGACGCGACCCCGGAGATTGTGAGGGATTTCTTTTGGGACGACGAGTTTCGGCCGAAATGGGATCCTATGCTTTCGTACTTCGAATCTTTAGAGGAGGACCCTCGGTCCGGAACCATGATTGTTCGCTGGATTAAAAAGGTTTCTCCGATTACCCGATCGATGTATTCCTCCTTTTCGTTGAATCCATGATTGAATTCTCTCTTCTTGCAGTTTCCCTTTTTCTGCAGTAACCGAGAATACATCATCGGTCGGAGAATATGGGAGGCGGGGAAGACGTATTATTGCGTGACCAAGGTAACTTTCCCGTCTAGGAAAACTCTCTAGTGGTTTGCTTCATCGCCTTTCCTTGAGCCCCGTAAATACGATATGCCTATAGAAAACTCGATGAATGTTTCCGCCGTCTTTTATACATGAAGTGATCATAGTAAGACCTGAGAAGAACAGAAAACCGTCTAATTCGGCTGCTTTGATATCCGATGTTATAGGGTATACCGTATCCAGCCCTCCCGAAAAGGGATAAGCCGAGGCGGATCGAGCTTTACTTCTCGAGTTGGATGATAAGAGCAGGTAAAAAGCCCTATCCTATTCCGTGCTCGGTCACTCTATATATTCTTGTAACTGGCTCGAGGGTTTGATCGTGAACGGTTTGATCGTGAACGGATGAATATTACAGTCGAATCCCGGAAAGGGGATGGAGAGCAAACGGCCTGCGAGGTCATGCTCGTCCACTACGAGGACATGGGGATCCCAAAGGACGTGGCGAAGCTCGGGGTCCGTCACGGGATGTGGGGAGCTGTCAAGAAGCTGAACTCGGGCCTACGAGCTTACCAGAACGCCAGAAAAACGGGCAGTCCTCTTTCCCAGTGCGCTCAAATGGCGAGAATCGCGACCAAACTCAGCGTGGATTCGGTGGAAACGTCCTCGGGAGAAGAAGAGAAAACCCGAGACCTCGACGCGGCGAGGACGAGGAGACGGGACGAGGAATCGAAGGTGGAATGGAGATGGATCGTTATAGGGGGCGTCGCTCTGGCCTGCGGCCTTCACTCGTCGGCCGTCGGTAAGGCGTTGCTAGCCGGAGCTGCTCAGAGACTTGCTCGTAGGTGAGAGACCGTGGGAGAGAATATTCTTCTGCCTTCTTTGAGAATATACGCACATATACATATATATGTATATGTATTTATGTACAAGAAGTTTATATTTCCGGAAACATGTTGAAGGAGGGAGGGCGTTGTTGAGTTAATGTGATTGTAGTCTTTTAGCTATTTGGATCCAATTTTGTTATTGGATCTTCTTCTTTTCTTTGTACAACTTTTCTAAGTCAACCAAATAAAAAATATCATTTCTCTTTGAATTTAAGGGTGTTTCGAATCCGATATGAATGAGTTCGGGTTTCAGTTTGTAGATTCGGAAAAAAAAATCAGATTTTTGGGTCGAATAGAATTTTAGGTTTGATCGGATTAATTTCGATGAATTTCGATCCGAAAGTTCGATTTAAAAAAATTATTTGAAAAAATCATTCAAATTGATAAAAAAATGAAAAAATCATAATTCAAGACCGACCCGAATCCGAATTTTATAGGATTAGGTTTCGGATTTGGTTTTAGGGATCCAAAAAGATTAAGATCAACTTAAATCCGAATTCAAAATTCTCGGGCTAAGTGTGGACTCGAACCGGGTCGTTTGACGCCCCTAAAATTCATCCTATCGTGTAAATCCATCACGAAACTGTTCTATGATTTTAAAATTTTAGGCATGCACTCTCTCTCAGGGGCAGCATTGTCAATTAAGAATATTCATTGCCGATTCTGTAAATATTAGAATATACGGTACCCAAATATTAAATAGTAAAACTTTCAGTCTTCAAATAACAAATTATAATAGTTGATCTGCATGTGCATGGGTTACGGTTTCTGCCTATAAAGCTCTAAGGTCTCACACCGAAAACCCTAGCGCCGAAGAAGCAAATCCAGCAAACCCTAGAGTCTCCTTCTTCGAAGATCCAACAACAATGGCGGAAGTCGAACCAGAGGTCGCGACCGCACAGGTCAAGAAGAGAACATTCAAGAAGTTTTCCTTCAGAGGAGTTGATTTGGAGTCTCTCCTCGACATGCCCACCGATCAGCTTGTCAATCTCTTCCAGGCCCGTGCTCGCAGAAGGTAACACCGCTCTCGCCGAGACATGTTCCTTTTGTCTGTCTATCTTTTTGTTCCTGTTTTGCTGCGACATTAGGGTTTTGGTCTGATTTTTCTCTCCGTCCGCGGGTATGGTGTAAGTGCAGGTTTAGGAGGGGTCTTACCAGGAAGCCCCTGGCTTTGATCAAGAAACTGCGCAAGTCGGTAATTTTGCTAAGCCCTTTTCGTCGGTATTAGGTTATAGTGATTGTGCTTTCTGTTTGTCTGGATGGTAATTTAACGATCGTTAATCGCGTTATTTTGGTGTATTTAGGGCTACAGAAATCTTTGTTTTCTCTTTTGGAATGATCTGTTATGTTATTCAGTTGTTTGGTTTGTTTATGTTCCAAGGAAATCATTATATGATGCTGTTATTTTTTAGAAAAGGGTTGAACTTTAGGACCATAAGAGATCTTCCTTAGCTTTTGAGACAAAGGCTTTTTGATCATATAGTAATGGAAGATCATGAAAAGTACTTGTAGTGTCAACTGGTTTCTTTTGTTGTGGTTAGTTTCTGCTCCCATGATTTTAACTTACCCTTTCACATATGTTGCTGCTGCTATCAGAAAAAGGATGCACCTCTAGGCGAGAAGCCTGAGGTAGTTAGAACTCACCTTCGCAGCATGATCATTGTTCCCGAGATGATCGGAAGCGTGGTTGGTGTGTACAATGGAAAGACTTTCAACCAGTTTGAGATCAAACCCGAGATGATCGGTCACTACTTGGCCGAGTTCTCCATCACTTACAAGCCTGTCAAGCACGGTAGGCCCGGTCATGGTGCTACTCACTCCTCAAGGTTTATCCCTCTCAAGTGAAGAAAACGTTTTCCGTGCTCAATTAGACTAGTTGCTTATCTTGCTTTTGGATGCTTAGACAATGTTAGTCGTCTTCAAGGTTTTATGTTTTCAAACTCCGAACCTTAGATTATGACAACGTTTGGTTTCTTTGTTCTTGCTTTAACCTATGCTTGCCCTGTTTCAAAAAGTTCTTCATTTGGATTTTAGATGTCTCCTGTTCTTGCTTGAATGTAAATTACAACTTGGTGACAAGGGTACATGGTCATATGACTCAAGCAAATGTTTGATTCAAAGCTGCTCTTCATTACGTTAGGCCACATTGATAGAAGTATGAACAAGTTCGGTTTCTGATTCATCTGAGTCCCATTGTTCATTGTCTGAAGCAAAATCTGTCTCTGAGTGAAGCCTATGTGCCACAATTTCATCTTCTTCTCCGTTATCTTCTCCCCCGTCATTCTCGCTGTCATATGTCTCTAGATATGCATCGTTGTCGTTGTCGTCGTCTTCCTCCTGCAAACCCGAGAAACACCAGTCCATATATGATCTTTTGCAACAAAACATTCAGTAACAGAAAAACCAAGGCTATACATGAAAACATACGTCTGTTTCTTCTGCATCTTCATCGCCGGATGGATAATCCAAGTCTAGTTTGTCGTATAATTCTTTGTCTCCCTTCTCTTTCACAACGTCCATTTGTCTCTGACAGCCATACAAGGGATTAGGATCTCGGATCAGTAAACGTTGCAAAAACGAAACACCATCTTGGTTTTAGGATCTATAAATGATAAAGATGAACAAGCAAAAAAGTAATGTAAATGAAAAAATCCCTTACGATTTCCGCTCTCAGCTGCTCTGCTCTTGAATGCAAGGCCGAGATGTATTTTATAATACCCTGGTTGAACACAAAGGATACAAAGATAAGCAGATGATAAGAATCCCCCAACAAGAAAGTGGACGCCTTGGCAGATTTTCAATACAAACCTCTCGTCTTTGGAGCTCAATGGAACGAGCCAAAGCCTTCCTCTTTGTCAGAAGGTTTCTCGGCCTCAATGTGGATGGTCGCTTATAGTCTTTTCCTCTGTATACAAGAATGACATAGCCTTTGGAGACCTTGTCAATAGAAACCAGGATACCACCACTCTCAGCTTCAAGGGCTAATGCTATTTTCTTCACATGGTCAAAGCTTTTAGCCTTCACAAGAATTTTCACCAGCTCCCGATATTTCCAGTGTAAGTGCATGTTCTCCACCGTACCATCAAACACCCCTCGACGACCTGAAACAAGAAATCCAAGCTTGTCATAGAGTCCACATCCCTACAGAGACACATCTGTAACTACATCCTTAAACGTGCTGTGGTATTATGTGTAAATGACAGTTTACCTAGGAGTAAGTAAGCTTTCATTCTCAACCCAAGTTTGCGGAACATAAATCTCTCTTCATCCGTTATGCTTCCTGGGTCTGCTCTATTCTCTGCTGGCTTTAGAAATGCCTCCACCTTAGCCAGTTCCCGTTCAGCTTTCAACAACCTTCTCTCACCCTAAAAAGTGCAATAGAAACTCCACTTAATCAAAAGTTTATTTTAATGATGGATTCAGGGAGTGTTTTACTTGGTGGTGACAACAGGTAAACAAGGGCCAAAGGCTGAAAGAAACTCACAAAAGCAAGTTTCCTTTCCAGCTTCCTGACAAGGTTTGCATGCCTCATCTTTTCAACCTCTTGCTTCACTTCCTCCACATGATCATCGTTGTCCAGATCCTTTCCCCACTTTCCCGTCGCATCGAGAGTTTCCCCAAGAGTACCGGCAGCAACAGGTTCTTGATTAGGTTCTACACGTGGGGCAATCAGACCCGATGATGCTCTTAAACGCGCCTCTTCCTCTTCATCCTGCAAAGATTTTGCAAGTCTCTCCTTCTCCTGTAACGCTTCAGCTACTTCTCGTGACAAAAAATCCTTTCCCCTGTAGAACACCAAGAAGTCTTTGTTGCTAGAGAGCAGCATACCTCCTGTCAACCTCTGCAGTCACTTGTCAAGAACATGACATCAACCATCATGCATGGAATCAAGACATGAACAAAAATGTTTGGAACAGACTAGGATGTCTTCATTTGGATACATTTATCATTGAACCTTCCTTTCCACTGAGATTCTGATGGGAGATGCTAAAAAAAGTCCAAGAAATTTCAAGACGTTGGTTTTAATTCTTTTATAGTTTCCCTCGGGATTTCATTCCTCAGCCTTCAATCTTTCTTTTTTGCGGGCTATCTCATTATAAGAAGCCAGGAAAGAATCTTTCTTTTTTTTCCTTCAAATTATTTTTCTTTTCACTCTCTAACCAGCAAGCCAATCTAAAACTTGCTTCGAGCAGAGGCATGCAATTTTGCAAAGATGAATACATTAGGTATTTAGTCATAGTTTACACACTAAACAGGGAATATCTGTTACCTTGAGATCTTCAGCCATTCTCTCACTGGTCGTCAACTGTACACCACGTTTAAGGGCAACCTTAGCAATAGAACTCTTCGCCCATAACTTAACCATGGCCGTAGCCAAACCATGAAGTTGTCTACTTCGGCCTGAAGATCAAAAGATATCTCATTATTCAAATTTCAATTATATTATCCGGGTCCAAACAAGTCAAAAGGGAAATCCAATACCTAAAGCAAAGTGTGGAGGGATAACTCTGGCAAGCCTTCTCAAAGATGTTCCCTCATTTTGTCCTAGACTTGCCCTCACTCCATAAGGAAGTACCCTGAAAGGGGGCTTGTAACCAGGAATGACCCCTGGAAGCATATCAGCATCTACAGGTAATGGATTACTTCCCTGCCAGTCCATGTACCTAGGGCCAAGACCTGCTAACAGTTTATCTACTTCAACTTCGTAATCTACTTCCGGTTGAGATGCCTCGTCTTTCTTCCTCGCAATGGTTGTCTCCTTGTCTGGTTGAGGAGGATGCACTTGTTTATCAGTGCTATTCGTTGAATTTGTTGGTAAGGAAGGACGACTGTCTCCTTGTCTGGCTGAGGAGGATGCATCATCTTCTCTTTTGTATATTCGTTTGTTTAGTTTCACTGATTGAACCTCATAACTGACACCTCGGTACAATGAGATAGAAGTGCCAGACCTCCAAATCACCAAACCACCCGTCTTTCTCTGTCACAGCAAGAAAAAAAACCCTTTTGTTTCAGTCCAATTGTTGTGAACATGGAAAGGACATCTAACAAAACGAAGACATTTTCCAGTTGTCGGAAAGAAAAAGATCTGAAAGCATAAAACCGAAATTGGCAGCACTGAGTGTACACATTCTTGTTCAGGCAATGATGCACGCTGTTTAAGGGAAACTTGGGAACAGCAGCATTTGAAAAAAGCTCATACAATCATGAAAAGTTCAATAGAGTTTCTTGAACTTCGAAACCTAAACAAGATAAGGGTCTTCCAATCCATTGCTTCCATACTCCTTTGTCGGATGATCTTCTAATACACTGCTAACGCTATACAGAAAACCTTTATAATCTTTGCAAAACAGATTTCAATTTATACTTTCGTATTATAAATTAGCTACTGTAAACTAATATAACAACCATTATAAGCTAGGCAAACCAAAATTTTGCAGACAAAAAACAGGCCTACTGTAAACAACAAGTAGGGTTCATAAGAAGCAAACCTCCAAAATCTCATGCATCCTTCTCATGTTAAGTGCACATGCTCCTTCAACTCTCAACCTCACAATCTCCGAGCTCTTCCACTTCTCGTGAATGGCATCCACCACGGCCTGAGTCACTCCTGCCCCCTTAATCCTAGTTCTGCTCTTCGTTTGAAATGTCAAATTCCTCAACCTCCTCAGTTCTGACTCTGGAAGAGTCATATCCGCCAGCGAGTACCGACTCTCCTTCCTTGCCGTCCACTCTCCTTCTCTATCCTTCTCCTTAGAACTTACCTTCTCCCAAGGAAAGCTTACCTCTCCATTTCTTCCTAAGACATTTTCTACACCCAACGGTGATTCCTCTGAGAATCCGCTTCTCCCACTCGGCAACATTCCTTCATCGACGTAGAATATGTCCTCCACCGATCCTTTCTCGACCGTTTTCTCATGTTGGGGCTCCCTATCCTTGACACTGTCTTCCATGTATCCGAATTTCTTCAACTTCTCCACAATCTTCTCCATTGTACTACTTCCACCATCATCACTACTACGACTGTTACTATCACCATTCGTGACCCCTAAACCCGAAAAGTTTCTACCTTTTCGATAATCTAACACAACCTTAGTAGGCTTTCGCTGATTACGTTTCTGGGTTCTGTTCCAATTATCTAACCAATCACCATCACCATCACCATCCCCAGAGCTACCATTATTACCACTGGCTGATAATCCTTGCACTTTCTTCACAGGAGAAAAATTTAACTTCCTCTGACTTTGATCGTTAGACATACAACCGTAAACACCGTTACAGGGTCTGAGTGGAATTGATGAATTGTACCTTAAGAACTGGAGAGGACTGGTTCCATAGAATTTGCAGAAGGAGCTTGTGGGGCAGAAATGGTGACTGGGGTTCATCGCAATTTCTGAGATTAATCCCTTCAATGACTATTCACTGATTCTGAAGAGAGAAGAAACCATAAACAAGAAATTCTCATACAAAGTTTCTACAGAATTTCAGCTTTCGCTTATTCGTTCAGCTACGAAGCTTTTTGCCATCTCGCCATGTTATCCATGGCGGGGAAGGGGTCGAAATATCTAAGGGGCTGTTTGGATACGTGGTCTTCCATAACCTAACCCTATTAAAGATAATGGCCCCGGAACATTTTAGATATCAAACCCAAACATGACCCAACCAATGTGCGCATTGTAGCATGAAAACAAGACGACCGGCTAAAATGCACTCGATGCCGGATCCATTTTCCTCGTTCAAATTCTCGGTACGGAGACGCACTTTTCTCGTTCATTTGTTCTTCCTCAGAGCGGCTATTTTGCTCACACAACTTCTCAGCTCTCTCTATCAGGTATCAAATCTCTGCCTATTTTTATTATTATTTGCATGAATTTTTTCCCAGAATTCTTGTGATTTATCTGAAGATCTTCGTTATTCGTGGGAATTCGATGCTTTTTTTTTTAATTTTTCGTTGGGGGCTTGGAGTTTAGCTGGCTGTTTAACAGCCCAGTTGCTAACTCAAGACGAATTATGAGCGGAACAGGGAAAATTGGAATTCTGATGATAGATGGGATCAATTTGATGAGGGTTCATATTGGCTTCGAGAAAGAGACGGAAAAAAATTCAGCCTTTGATGCTTTGAAATGGTGGATTCAGGCAGAACCGAGGGGTTTTCAGGAACAATGAACACTGAAAAACAGAAGGGTTGGTTTGGTTGTCTGTCCTAGAGTTATGGATGGTCCTTGTAGATAACAAAAGTGGAAAGTGTCAGAAAACGAGGTTTCCATTATTTGATTTGTGGGATAGAATCTAAGACAGACACACTGTTGATTGAATTTCCCCCTTTGGGTTTGTTTCCAATCTGTCTTCTGTAATAAATTTCACCGATTTAAAGGAGGTTTTCTTGTGTTTGTTGAGATCGGAAAAATTAGGAATGTTGCTACCTTGCCGGAAGCTATGACTCAAATTTTACGCAAAGACGGATTCAAATTTCTCCGGGAGGTCTAAGATGCCACCTCCTTTTGAGGAGAAAGGAATCTTTTCTTGAATCTGTTAGGGTCTGTTTGCATTTGTTGCGGCGAGTTATGTGAAAAGTTGGAGCCTGCATTCGTGTTACAGAACAAAAAATTGCAGAGGTTATCCGATAGATTGTTTGTCTATCTGTTGTCTTCTTGTCTAGTGTCGGTTACCATGCTTTCTCCTTGTTACGATGTCGGTACATCTTTGTAAATCTTTGGTAGTTGGGTTTGAATACATGAAAATGCTATATAAATTTGGGGATGATTGATATGAAGCGCTACCGGAAACCGGGGGAAAATGTGGAAATTACTGTGATCTATGACTCCTTTTCTTTAGCCGAATCATCGTCTTCTGCTCTGATAAATGATTTGAACCCTGGTGTTTGCCCTTGCCTATGCCTTCATCCTCTAAAAAGATAATATCTATATCTCAAAATCTTGATTTGATTTCCCATGTTGTTCCTCTGGTGACAGATGAAGCATGTTTTTGGAAGTGGAACTGAGAAGGGATGTGGCTATGTGCACTGGACACTTGAGTGGATTGATTCCACACCAACAGATTGTGCGTAGACTGCTTCAAGATCTAATGAGCGAGAAAGCGTGCGAGGAACACGGGTTCTATCTTGCGGTCACCAGCCTGAAAAACATCGGGAATCCGAACCTTCTAGAAGACGACAATGGCGGCGGCTGGTCTTACAGACCCGTCACGTTTCCGGTCTCGTTCACTTGCCGGACGTTCTTGCCCAGGAGAGGAGAGGTCTTGAAAGGTGTGGTCCAACGGGTTTTTCGGAATGGGGTCTTCATAAGCTGCGGCCCGATCAGATACGCTTACCTCTCGGCCATCAAAATGCCGGGTTACCATTACCTCGACAGAGACGAGAATTTGTGTTTTCGGAAAGAAGATTGCTCGAAGATCGAGGTGGGCGTCGTGGTGCGGTTCAAGGTGTTGGCGGTGAGGTTCAATGAGAGACAGAACAAGAAAAGGAACGACTTTTACGTGCTTGCGACCATTGAAGGCAAATCGTTTGGACCCATCTCTCTTGCAGGACCTGATGAACCCTACATGTGATTCTGTATATATATATATTCCCACAAGACAAACCCTTTCGAGTCTTCGTATGTTTTTTTAAGATTCAGTTTCCTATTGGTTTTTATGTACTTCGTTAAACAAGTAATACACACACACATATATATATATATATATATGAAGAATATGCAAAAAAAAAAAACTTAATAGATTAAACGATGAGAGATGTCTTAATGATTCTCTGAATCAAAAAATGTGAAAACTAGGGGTGGACATTCGGTTCGGGTATTTCGGTTATTAACCAAACCGACCGATATATACCCGAACCGAATAAAATTAAATAACTGTTTGGTTAAGATTTTTTAAAACCCGAAATTAACAAAACTGAACCGAACCGAACCGATTAAAAATGATTAACCGTTTGGTTATAAATTTTTATAAACCGAATTAACCGAACCCGAATCGAACCGAACCGTTTATATATCTTCATTTATATATATTTATATACATATATGATTGTTTGTATTATTGATTTAATCATTGTTTTATTATATTTTAAACGTATTTTATCATTGTTACTATTGTTTTTAAAGTCGATCTTTATTTATTTAATAGTTTTATATCAAAATATAAATTTAGATATTACTATTTTATATGTTAAAATAATTATGATAATATTTTATATTATATTTTATTTGAATATTTTTAATTATAAATAAATTGATTTTTAAAATATTATAACCGAACTGAACCGAATCTTTATTTGGTTATAGTTTGGTTATAGTTTTAAATAGACAAAACCGAGCCAAACCGAACCGAAACCGAACCAAACCGAACCGAATAAAATTAATTAACCGTTTGGTTATGAATTTTAATAACCCGAAATAACCGAACCCGAAATAACCGTAACCGATTAACCCGTAACCGACCGTTCGTCCACCCCTAGTGAAAACCATACTCTAAATATTTCTTCCATCACCGTCATATCTACAGTTTTCATGAACATTTCTTTCATTTTTTTAAATTATTTCCCAACGATCTTTTAATACCCATAAATTGTAATAAATAAAGATTTTGTATATTTTTTACATATGCAAATTCATACTTGTTTAAAAAAATCAGTTTCTTTTTAAAAATGTAAAAAAAAATTTACATATAGACCTAAGTTTTGTATGCAAAAACAGAGAGATTTTGCTCATTATGAAGGCTAAATGAGTTTGAATCCGATCTACATTCCAATGAATAACAGCAGGTTTTGTTATTAGGGAATCCCAATTATTTGCGGATTATCATAGAAATATATTACAAAATAATAGGATGTGACACATAAATTGAGCAATAAAATTTTGAAAAAATCGCATATAAATATCTAAATTTTTACAAAAATCTCACTTAAACTATAAAATTTTCATATAAATACCTGAATTTTTCTAAAATCTTATATAAATACTTAAACTTCTGAAAAACTTTCAAATAAATACAAAATCTATTAATGACATCACTTATTTTTATTTGAAAAATACCTGAAATTCATATTTAGTTAAAAAAAAATTAAAAATCTAGGTATTTATATATAATTTTTAAAAGTTCAGGTATTTATATTAAAATTTTATATTTCAGATATTTATATAGAATTTTTATAAAAGTTTAGGTATTTATATGTTATTTTCTCTAAAATTATAGAATAAAGTTGAAACTTGCTCCTCGTAATAGGAAAAATAGGGTGCAATGATATAATGGCCATGAATGAAGGGGTCCATGAACATGCACATGGTCTTGTTTCCCTGCCCCTCTCATGGGTCTTGAATTTAATAAATTCCTCCCACTTTTAAATTTTTTTAAAAAAAAAAACATAATCATTCGCAAATGGTCAACTCACATACTTATATGAAAATAATTGGATGATGCATAATTTGTATAATCCTTTTTCGATATATATATATTAAGGAAAAAAAACACAAACAGCAAACGATTTTATTGAAGTACAAAGATCACAACTAGACATTTGGACGACATTATTATTATAACACACAAAAGAAACGACAAAGAGGCAGACTAAAGGACCAATACATGCATACATACATACATGCATGCATACATACATACATACATACATACATATCCATGTATATGTACGAAGATTGGTCATTATATCAACCAGACACACACATGTTCGGCAATAAATATGACACAAACACAGAGACTGTAAGTTTCTCTCTTATGTCCACATTACAAATTGTCCACATCCTTATAGTGAAAATACTATACCTATCTTAATTAAAATTACAAAACACAGAGGGAAAAAAAAGGTCTCATAAAATCAACAAAAATACAAATAAAACTTTATAATAAAACCCCATATTGTATTCTTCATTGATCTGATGATCACGACAGTTCTTGTTGATTCAAGATCTGTTCTTGCACTTCTCCATAGCTCTTGGTGCTGAAATCAAATCAGGAAAAAAAAAAACACATTAGAAGTGTTTCGATTTTTTTTTTTTTTTTGATAAATTAAGATAGAGGATAAAGGGAAGAATACGTATACCAAGTCCGATGGCTTCAGATCCTTTCATAATGCGCAAACGTTTGCACGATTCGACAAACATTCTGAAAAATAAATTCGGGTTTTGGCATTTAGACGTCGGTCCATATATATATATATATATAATATGATCATTGATATTTCAACATCGAGCAAACATATAATTAATTGCGTTTTAGATAATGATAGCGATAATAGTTTCGGTATTTGCCAGCTATAAATGAGCTACCGTTTTGACATGTTCAAGATCATATCTCTTGTCCTATATATATATATGCCAAACAACGGAGAGTTTGTGTGTATATATGTTCACATGGAATTTCTTGACTATATATATTATTATAATAAAATGAAATAAATGGGATTTATATTAACAATTAACAAAAAACGAGAAATGATAACTCACAGCCAAGGAACATCGCCCACGAGCATCCAGTCACCGTCCTTGTCTTCGTAGGTTGGCACATACTCGGAACTGTTCAGCAGATCCATCAATTTGCTCTCGTTCATGAAATCTATCATCCCTTGTGCTCCATAGCTCCCTACAAAATATACAATTCACAATTTAATCTTCATTATATATATATATACATATATGCGCATGCATGTGTATATACACAGAATTTTATTTGTTTCTCCAAGTATATATGAGAGGTTATATTCCCAAGACACATGGTTACGTACATGTGATGCATTCATATGTACATATATAGTATATGTATATGTGTGCGTACGCATGGTGAAGGAGCTAAACATTTTGTATGTATATATGCATGCACGTGTATATACACAGAATTTTATTTGTTTCTCCAAGTACGAGAGGTTGTATTCCCAAGACACGTGTGGTGAATATAAACCCCCTTACACATACGTGTGCGATATGTGTTCATATGTATGTATATATATATATGTGAGTGTATGTATGTATATGCGAGAGTATATATATGTACCCATGGTGAAGGAGCTGAACATTTTGGCCAAAGCATCAGAGAGATCTTGGTAGCTTTTGTGCATCTTGAGGTCGACCTTCCTGAGATAAGGAGCTCCATCCATGGAGACCTTCACGAAGGCTGCTGCCGCCTTCTCCTCCTCCTCCATGGCACTGTTCTTCTGATTAGCCATCACGTTCTTCCTGTAGTTCCTCACCGGAGGCCAACCCACCACTTGTGCCCTACATATATGTACATACAATTAACATTATATCATACATATATATATATAATTGTTAGTATCATGTTCCATAATTGATGTATGTTAAAAACCATTCCATGAAAAAAAAAAAAAGCTGTTGATTGGAACAAATTGTCGCTCAAGATGAATCATCATATATGTTAGAAAAATAAAATAAAATATTATTACACAACAGACAAGTAACGTATATTTTTCATGTCTTTTAAAACCCTCAAGATTGAATATTTTAAACTTAAATAAAGTGGGGTGAAATATTATATCATTCAGAAGTTGTGTAGATCCGGAGATCCGTTATTCATTTTTCTCGGTTCCACCATTATTCTTGAAGCGAATAAATTTAAACTTGCGGTTTAGGGTTTATATATGAAAAAAAAATTAAGTTTGATTATATGATTGTGGTTTCTGTTTAGCCTTCCATTCTTGAAATCTACGGTGAATGGAGATCAAGACTTTGTATAGTTACCCAAAAAAAAAAGATTATGTATAAGTGAAGTTTTTTTATGAAGAAAATTAAAATATCATAATATAAAAAAGAAAAGAAAAGGGCATACTTAGAAGGAGGCTTAGCAGGATCCTTAGAGACCTTGGAAGCATTGGTGAGATCCATAACTCCTTCCTGCTTGTTTGTCTGAAGATTGAGTTTCAGATCAACTGTCTCTGAGAAACCTCTCTTATTCCCCGCCGCCTTTGCAGAGCTCTCCCCCTCTCCTCCTCCTCCTCCGCCGCCGCCGGGCAGGCCGAGACAGAGCTCTGTCTCCTTCAGATTCATCGGTTCACCCTTCATGTCGGTGGTGGCTCTTCAATGGCTGTTTCTCTCTCTTTCTCTCTCTCTCTAGATGTGGATTTGGTTTTGGGGTGTGTGGGTGGGTGGGTAGAGATTTTTGGTAAGAGGGGAAGAGGGAAGGGAGGGAGAGGAGGACAATAATATAAGGGAGGGAGAGAGAGAAGTGTGTGTGGGGGTCTGCCTGTTGTGTATGTATTCGCGTATGGGCATGTGCATGTGCATGTACATGCCATTGCTTCTTCTTCTTCCTTTTGTTATGTGGGGTTCTTGACACGTGGGCTTATATTAATATTAGACCTTCATTTCTATTCACCACTTATAATATGTATGTATGTATGTATGTATGTATGTATGTATGTATGTATGTATGTATGTATGTATGTATGTATGTATGTATGTATGTATGTATGTATGTATGTATGTATGTATGTATGTATGTATGTATGTATGTATGTATGTATGTATGTATGTATGTATGTATGTATGTATGTATGTATGTATGTATGTATGTATGTATGTATGTATGTATGTATGTATGTATGTATGTATGTATGTATGTATGAGGAAAAAACAATCATCGATCTCGGCAATTGCAATCGAGTTAGCTAGAGGACATTTACCTTATAAAAAACATATATCATACAAAATGATGCAATTTTTCTATGATTTTTTGTGAACAATTTCCTCTATTGGAATGTAGATTTTGATATACGTCTATGTATATGTATTGTATTTGTAAATAATACGATTTGTTTATTTCCGATTTTATTATATCACTGACTCCTATGGGCAACTGTTCATCGCATGTGAATTGGGCGGTAAAATTCCGTTAATCGAATTTGGTCAACATTATAATTAAATACGGTCTTCTTTCTTTTCCATTTTTTAATTTATTAAACGTATATCTTAATGAATATTTAGATAATTAATAAGTCCATAGGTAATAGAAAAAATGACAAAATGAATACTCGTTTTGACAACAAAAATATACACTCTTATATATAGATTTATCTTTATACAAAAATATATTTTATGTATCAATTGAAGATAGTACGTCGTTGGACCAAAACACACTGATATTTCTATTATAAAAAAAAAACTTTACTACAACTTATCAAATCTAAAGCAAAGTAGCAATCGGATGTTTTTCTACGCATTACTCAAGTGATAATTTTTTCTAGTCGACAGTATACAATTAAATTGAGGGAATATATTTTACAAATATTATATTTATATATCTATATATATATATATATTTCTAATTCCAATGATGTTTTGTTTAAATTTATTAATTTTAGAAATTTTATATTGTGTGCCTTTAATATTTTTAAAGATATTTATTTTTAAGAAAATATTTTCATTTTTTATTTTGATTTGTAAATAATTTTTTGTATTCAAGTTTAATTTGAAAATAATATCAAAAAAATTGAAATTTTTATTTCATTTAAATATTAATAGATAGTCCAATTGTCCAGATAAATCGGTTGAGTAGCCCATGATTCTCTAAGAGGTCATGGATTAATTCGATTCCACTCACCAGTGAACTTATCACTCTTTAAATGGTTTATTTGTTCTACGTGGTTTATAAATTATTGTGTGGAATCGGAAGATTTATCACTATGTCCGAAAGGTTGTGGTTGAGTTCCGTCGTAGCAAAAAAAATACTAATAGATATTAACATACATATGTATTTGAAACCCTAAAACTATCCTACATTAAATATTTGACCATAAAAAGAAATATTTGATTTAACCAAAAATAAAGAAGCAAATAAAGTTTATTCACCTTTAATTATTTAACACCACATACGGAAGTCAACACTCCATAAAATAAAATAAAAAAGCAGTTAATACATGAGTAATCGTAATTAATACTACAAATAATTAATGACAATATTCTCTGTTGAATATTTTAATTGAATCGTGACCATCTTCCCTCGACATCTTCCTGAATTTCCGTGAAAATGATACGACAAATTTGGGAAAAGAATACCGTAAGGTTGTCGATTAATCATTATAACATTCGGAATAAAAATGGACATATATAATTAAATTTAACGTAAAGAAAGATTGTTCCCGGAACCTACCAATCATGTATAACCCACATGATCGAATAATTCGTCCCACATAAAGAGTTGGATTAATGAAATATTAATCTACGTATCAAAATAATTTATTTACTTCAACGAATATAATAAAAGAATCCATATATCATTGATATAAGTTAATCATTGGATGCCAAAAAGATTAGTGCTAATTAAAAAATAAGGTGGACCGTCCATTATAATAAACAAAAAAAAACTAAAAAGCACACGGATTTTGTGGTAAAGTCTCTGAAATTTTCCCACTGTTTTGAGCTTAGGGTTGGTTCAAATAACTTAAAACATAAATAAAATTGGTGGATACTAAATTAAAACTAAACCCAACAAATTACTAAAGATGCTAATTAATTGATTGCTTAATTCATTAATATAGCAGTAAAGATTATTAAGTCTATAAAATTACATCCAATTTGGGTAAATCAAACGATAAAACGGAAATTGCAAAGCGTATTTTACGACCCGAGTTCGAGTCTTAAATTGGGAATGGAACGTAATTCTAATCACATGATTGGCTCTCGACTGCGGGATTGATTTAGACCTCGATATTAGATACCCGATTAAAAAAAGTCTATAAAATTAAGGGTGTAAAACGGACCGTCCCGGCCCAGCCCAGCCCGGACCGTCCCGATCTGGAAAATTTTCAGCCCAACCCGTTTTTTAGTGAGCCAAAAATAGGCCACCCCAACATCGTCTTAACTCGCGAGCCAAATGAGCCGGCCCGCGAACCAAATATATAAATTTTAAAAATAAAATTTTAATACTAAAAAATATTTAAAAATAATTTAAATATTTAAAATATCTAAAATATAATAAAAAAATTAAAATTTTAAATAAAATAAACCAAATATGTAATAAAAATAAAATTTATATATATAAAAATATATAAAAATTTTAAAATTTTAAAAAAATAAATATTTTTTCTGACCTGCGAGCCAGCCCAGATCGTGACGGGTTAGCTCGCCCAAGCCCGGCTCGTGACGGGCTGACTCGTGTGGCCGTTTTTTATGGGTTCGAAATACTTAAGTCCGGTTCGAAAAAATATGGGATGGCTCACGAATCAGCCCCGAGCTGGGCTCATTTTACATCCTAAAATTACACCAAGATTAGTGAGGAATATGGATAGTGGATGGTGAAGAGTGAGAGACAGGTCACATCCAAATGCAAAATGAAATAGACAGACCCAAACCCAAAGCATCCATCTTTGCCTTGTCAACATCCCCCACCCCCCATTTACCATTGTTTCCATCACCCAACCCTCCAAACTCAATTTTTTATTAAATTATTATTTTTAAATTTTAATTGGATTTTCTTAGTTTTTTTTTTCATGAAAAAGGGAGAAAAAAAAAACTTCTTGTAACATCATATTAGACATCTTCCGAACCACATCTTCCTTTTATGCACAAACACCTTTCAAGAGATGATATAACATATGCCTGCTCTTGTCTTGTCCTCTTCTTCTTCTTCTTCTTCTTTATTGGTGGATTCCTTATCTATATATATCTCCTTACTTCAATTCCAAAATACCCTTTTTCTCATTTATATTTTGCATTTATATCTAAGTACCAAGTTAATCAAGCAAATGTATATGTGCTGTTGACATTAATATATACATATACATGTATATAAGAGAATCTTACCTTTAATTGTAATTATTCCTAATGTTGGTAGAATAGGGAACATTGGCTTGCAAACCATGAAATTGAAAGGGCTGGTCCATGACCATATATAGACACGTTTCTTTTTGCTTATAATAATAAGTTTTTCCTTAATTAAGAAAACATAATTGCACATTCTTGATTAATCATATGGCCATTTATATCTAATTAACTTAAGCTACAATGGAATATATATAATCTTTAGGAAGAAAGATTATTTTCGACCCAATATCTCTTTTATGTAAAAGCAACACATATATAATCATATATCAAGTTTCCAATTGGTTTAAGAATGAAATTACGACAAGCATGCGTGATCTAAGATGTGGTTTTGTAGTGGATCAATTTATATATAATTTGTTAATATTATTTCACTAAAAGAGCTTTTATTAGATATGATGCAATTAAAGAGAGTCCCCAAACAAAGCATAAAGTTTATAGGGGAATCAAATTTTTCTATGTATCGTTTGGGCCCAATTCGAAACAGGCATGACGGTCCACTTGTATAATATGTACATATCCCTTAGATTTTTTTTTTTTGTTAAAAAAAAGACAGAAGCATTACCGATTGATCTTTTTTTTTATAATCAGAAAGGTTGGATAAGTCTTCGAACCACTTAATTCTTCTAAATCTAAATTTATTCTTTAATTGCACATCTCGTCCTTTTAGTAGAATCGAATTCAGGATTTTAAAATGACTTTGTCACCCACCGAACCATTGGACCACCATCTAATGTCTTTTAATTCATTGTCATTAATTAATTTTAAACATAAAAAATGAAGTTTGATTGTTTGGACATTGTTCTTCTTTAGTCGAGGAAAGCGTTAGGCCTTCGTACGTGTGCATGCATGCACACAATACAATACACACACTGACACACATATTTGTGTATATATACGTATATAATTGTGTACAAGTAAATTTTATTGATGAGAAAACTCGGCGTTTTGTCTTTATTATCAGAATGCAAAGACATACTTGGATCCTTTCACTGTCACAAATCGATGGACACACGTGTGTGTCTTTCGTTCTACAGCTATGGTGGGGAATTTTCTTCTCTGTTTGCTTTTTGTCCTTTATTTGGACCATGCCCTTCAATGCTCTTGTCGGCAGTCACACGCTTATATATGTGTGTGTATATATATATATATATAAACTTGTATGTTTATACACATTTATACATGAGTAGCTGGAAAGTTTAAGCGGTATCATGAATTTGGTTGTAAATAAGGAGATTTCCTCGGAAATTATTCTACGTATTGCCGCTTCTATGTATGTATGTATGTATGTATGTATGTATGTATGTATGTATGTATGTATGTATGTATGTATGTATGTATCACGCTAAATGTTTTTGGTGGTAGGATGGTGTAGGTATAGTAATCAAATGCATAGTGACAAATATCAAAATTTCTTCGTAATTGTAACAATCCAAAATGTTTAAATACGAAGTAAAAACAAGAAAGAAATATATATACATATATATATATATATATATATCAAATCAAATCAAATTGAATACATTCTCATCCACAACAATTATAGAATACGTTTCGCGTAGGAGAACCAAGCGTGGGCGTTTCAAATATTGAATTAGCCTGACCCATTTGCCCAACGACCCCAAAGTCCCCACCTTTGCCCCCACGTCATTGACTTTGCATGCTTTTCATAATTTCATTTTCTGAATTTTCTCCAAAAAGAATTTTATCTGATGTGAAAAACAATAATAATGCCTCTTGATTTCAGTGTCATCCATTCCATTTTGATCAATCCCAATCATAGTTAATCGAATGATTATTTTTAGCTACCCTCCGTTTCAAAATATTTTTTGTTTTAGATTGTTTCACAATTTTTTAAAAAATAGATCAAAAGTCATATATACCCTTATTTGATGATAAAAATATTACAATTATTAATAATGTATTGGAATTTAGTAGGGATAAAATTGGAAACTATTATAAAAAATGTCTTGAAAACGTAAAACTACAAATATTTTGAAACATAAAAAATAACCTAAAACTATAAATATTTTGAAACGGAATGAGTATAATATAATTCCACCACAACAAAGACGCCATTTCCAACGGATTTATATGTCCGTTGGAAAATTTTCAACGGATATCAACAGCGTTTTTTAACGCAAGTATAGTAAGATATATGGGTCTAACAGCAAATCAACAAAATTCATTACCACAAAGCCAAATTAAAATGGAGAATTCTTGAATCACATATATATAGTTTGGATCCAATTATACATGTAGGTCTTAGAGTACAGCTTTACGAACGAAAAATTATCCGCGGGGTCCGAGTTATAAAATCTTAAATAAACCAGGAAATAAAAAATTAGAACTATCAATATTGGAAAAATCGAAGAAAGAATTGCAGTGAAACATACATTAATTAAATTGTCTGCTCAAGAGAGATCAAGAAGATTCTCAAAATCCAAAAAATGTTTAAGCAATAAATTTTCTTCACAAACCTAACTGTCATAAACATTACACTCTCTCTCTCTCTCCTTGTATCGAATAATTTAATTAAATTTATCTAAAAGATTTAAAAAAAAAAAGAACCCAGAGATTAGGAGACTAAGATAGGGTCGTTATGATCTTAAACAAAAGGTTAACTGACCAACACATGGTATTATGGGGCAAATTTGGTGCCACGACCACCGATTTCGGTGTCCACAAGATTTTGATGTTTTGTTTTATACATACATACATATATATATGTGTGTGTGTATATATATGTACTTATGTATATGCATGGTTTTTCAGATCTGGTTCGATGTTGCTGTCTTGACCCTACGTTGCCTTGAACCCTTCTGTAAATGATTGAAGGTTCACGAGATGACGATTTTCAGACATATCCAGCAAAATTAGGGCAATGCTCTCCGTGGACAATCGGATATCGTTCATTAGGAATACATATGAATTCTTAGATGTTATTTTGGTCATAATTTAATATATATATATATATAAACCGGGAAATGTGTATATATAAGGAAGAAAAGGATGATGAACCAATAATAGAATTCGGGAGAGTAGCATATTGCTAGTATACAAAAAATGAAACAGGAAGATGATAGATACAGATCGATACCAAAAAAGATTCAAAAAGGAGACAAGACTTGTAAATTATTTATTTAAATTGAATATGCACACGAGCGAGGGAGTGCTTTTGTAAAAATAAAAAAAAATAAAAAAAAAAATTAGGACCCTCTTTCTATTTTTAACATTTGGAGTTTTGCAGACCAATCAGACATATGATTTGTGTTTCAACTCCATCTGTCTTCTCAATGTTTTCAAAACTATTTTCTTTTTCTCTTTTCCCATTTTGATGATGATGCGGTACCTCCACATATATATATATATACATATATATATATATATACATATATATATATACACACACATGGGCATACCCATGTAAAAGGTAATGAGGGCATATGCTTTTAATTAAAATCATTAAATGTTCTCATAATAAATTAAATTTGTCTGTACAATGTGACAATGTCCTGATTATACATTATGCCCCGATTATAAATTGTTCTCGTTCTTATAAGTATTTTTTGTGATGGGAATGTTGTTTTATTATGGTAAGAAAATAGAGTATAGTACATGTATGTAATGTGTTAGCGAATCGTTCGACGCATGAACCCCAAGCATATTGACCAGTTTCATTCGTTAATTCAAATATAAAAAAGGTAATTATAATGATCAATAACTTAAAAAAAATTAAAACCATTAACCAATTTTCAATAATTTTCAGGCGGAAAAAAATAATATTTTCCTCATTTGATAAAAGACATTATATGATGGGATTAGAGTTGTAAAGCTCCATCGACAAAAGCAACTAAAGGTTCATCTTTTTTTTTCCCATTCTTTATACATTTATGGAAAAAAAAATGCAGATACAATGCATATATGCCCATTGTAAATATCGAAACCGCATGCGGATTAACAAGATTAAACGAACTTAGTTATGCGTAAATCACGCAGAAGTTAATATTCAATTCGTCAAAAGTTAGCATTCAATTCGTATTAATTTTTAAAAAAAGTATGATGCAATGTATGTATATAACTATATATTATATATCTTTATAAAAAAAAACACTATATGTTATGTATTCATGCATGGGATGATGGACATTGACACACCACGTGGATTTGGTCCCACCGTTATGTATGTTATTAAAAGGAAAAAAAAAACAGGCTAATTCATTTCAGCCCACATGGGCTTCACCACTCTTATGTCCATCGCCAAAACATTTGATTCTTATCCACATGGGTCTCCCACTTAATTATATATAAAGTTTTTTTTTTTTATACATTGAGAACCCGTGACTACCTATCCTTACAAACGAAGATGAACTGGTCACCACCTACGCCTAACAGTTTTTATGGACCTCAGTCCGCCGGACCTGGCCACCAGGTACGCCTAACGTTCGGGTCGTAGTTGGATTTAGGCGTCTGCGGGTCAAACTCCAAGTCCACGCGCACGAACCTGCAACATACGCGTAAGAGGTAAATCATCCCGTTATGACAGATTGGCAGGCGAAAAAGTTAAGGTTATTGTTCATACGAGATACATCTTATATATATATAGATTGGAAAAAAGTAAAAAAGGTTTTTAAAAAGATTCAGTTTAATAGATTAGTTAAATACTATTTATGATTAAAAAAAATTAAAACTTACATTTTGGTGAGGCTAAAAATATTTAGCATCTAGATATAATGTGTTGAGGTTATAGTAAAATCAATTCAGTACAAATACAAAGGAAAATATATATGTTCAAATTTTATTTATATAAATGTTGATGTAATGCAAATAATACACAAGGAAAAAAATGAGAATTTATATATCTATGTCTATATGTGCGTGTGTATATATATGATACTTATCCTGGAAATCCTCCTCTTTTATTAAAGTGAATATAAAACGAACGGCTAGGATCAATGTTTAGAGTGAGATAAGATCTCAACCGTTGATGAGATTAGAAGAGAGAGAGAGGGAGAGACCGCGTCCATAATGGGCGGCTTAAGGTCAATGTCCCACCTCTGTCCCCTTGTACTGGAGACAGCTCTGCCTCTCCCTTGCCCCTTCTGCTTCCGACATTGTCCCTTTCCCTCTCTCTCTCTCTCTCTCTCTCTCTCTCTCTCTCTCTCTCTCTCTTTAAAGCAATTCATTTGCTTATATAACACAAAGTCTTCCATTTCATTTCCCACAAGCAAACTCCTTTCGCATTTCAAGAAAGAAGAGGAAAAACAGGATTGTATCTTCATCTAAACACAGAAACTATCACGAAAAGGGGGCTACAGATTCTTATTCTGAGAAGAAAGAGAACTCGATTCGACTATGGCGTACGAGGAAGTTAACGGTCTTAACCTCAAGGACACGGAGCTGAGACTGGGATTGCCCGGCACAGACGAAAACAGAGAGCGAGACGTTTCTTGCTTCACAAGCAACAAGAGACAGTTTCAGAGCAAAGACGATCAAGATCAAAACCAAGAATCTGCACCTCCTACGAAGTAAGCTGAGATCTGGGTTCTGGTTATTTTTACCTAAAGCCATGTTCTTGATGGGTAATTTCTCCTCTTTCTATACTGATATCGAAATCGATCGATCTTTCTGCAGAACCCAGATCGTGGGTTGGCCGCCGGTGAGATCTTACCGGAAGAACAACGTTCAGGTGAGGAAGAACGAGGAGATTCATGCCGGGATCTACGTGAAAGTGAGCATGGACGGTGCTCCTTACCTTCGAAAGATCGATCTCAAGATGTACAAAAACTATCCTGATCTCCTCGCCGCCTTGGAGGACATGTTCAAGTTCACCATTGGTAAGATTTGTGCTTTTGCTCCAAATACTTCAGAAATTTCCCTATCTTGCTTAGATCTGTATCTCTAACTAGGGGGTTTTACGTTCATGTTTCAGGTGAGTATTCCGAAAGAGAAGGATACAAAGGATCTGGTTTCGTACCGACCTACGAAGACAAAGATGGAGACTGGATGCTTGTTGGAGATGTCCCATGGGACATGTTCTCTTCGTCTTGTAAGAGACTGAGAATTATGAAAGGATCTGAAGCAAGAGGACTAGGCCGCGGTCTCTGAGATTCTTGCAAGAAACATTTCACACGAACAATGATGATGAAGAAGAAGAAGAACACATTCAAGTTCAAGCTCAGGCCAACAGATTCGTTTCTCAGTCCAAAGAGAACTCTTTCAAAGCCCTTGGAGTGGATCTGTCGGAGAAATGATAGTGACCCTTTTGATCGTGATCGGCGATGGCCGGAAATTTCATGTTCCGGCCGACGAGATGGTTCTGATTGTTCTCTTCTATTAGCCCTTTTTTTCAGGAATTTTCAAGAGTTTTTGTAAAAAAAAAGAAGATTATGTATAATATTACAGACAGATATTGTAAATGTATACTTCAAAAACCTGTTTCTGTAAGATCAGTTTTTCATGTTCTTTGGCGAATACAGAACCATCATACACAACTGTACGTGTATTTCCAAGTATTTTTAATTTGGTGTGGCCATTTCGTTATTAACCCAATAAGCGAAGCAAACCGAACCAAATAAGATATAATTGTATTCAAACCGAAATCGACATCAAAACCGAACGGTTATAATTTTTTTAAACTCGAATAAACGAAATCGAACTAAACCGAAAAAAAAAAAATCCGATAATTTCTTTGAAAAAATGATTTTTTTATCGAAATCGAATCGAACCGAACCAAAGTTTATATAAAAATCGAATGGTTATAATTTTTTTATAACCGAAATAATTAAACCGAACTCAAACCGAAACCTGAAATGACCACCACTATTTTTTTACCAATAACAATTAATTAATTAATCAAAAAAGCTCTATTTTGGATTCTCCTGCACATTTCTAAAACATTGCGCTGTACTTTACAACTTTTGAAAATACGGGGGGCTACATGTATAATCTTAAACTTATGGGGGTAAAATAAATATGAAGCAAGTATCAGACATGGGAAGAAGATTTTCGCGCGCAATTATCATCCGTTTGCAGAGACGTCAGAGGAGCCTAGAAAATCCGAGAATCACGCGCTTCGCCATCGCAGAAGAAACACCATCGTCTCTGTAATTATCTCTTCCTGCGATTGACTCACTCATGCACGTTGCGGTTGAAAAATGTTCGCGAATCTCTACTTGGATGGTAGTAGCTTACAGATTCTGTGTTCCACAAAAACCCTACCACCCAATCTAGGTTCACCGATTTCCCCTCTGGAGAAATCTCTGCCGATCAGAAAAAGCAAGCAGAACTACATACTCAGAACCCATGATGGGGAGAAGAGGCACGATGGAGGCAACACGAAACAGGGCGGTTATAGAAATGGAGTTGTTGTCCGCGAATTTCTTGTCGGAAAACCAGGTTTTGTCGAGACCCGAGAGAGCGAACGGGTCGGAAAAGGGAAGGGCGGTGATGGATTTTCTGATAAGGGGATTGGGAATGGTGGATTGAATTGGAGTGGCACGGTTGTGAAAATGCATGCCAAGTGTTCGACGAAAGGCCTGAATTATGGAGGATGTATGCCCGCCATTCTGCAGGCTTTGGATAGCATAGAGGATGTCGAAGAGGCATTGAGCCCATGGGCGGAGAATCTTGGCAACAAGGAGAGGACGATCATATTGAAGGAGCAGACACGGTGGGAGAGAGCGGTGGAAATTTTCGAGTGGTTCAAGAGCAAGGATTGCTACGAACTGAACGTGATTCACTATAACATCATGCTTCGGATTCTTGGCAAAGCACGTAAATGGAAGTATGTGCAGAATTTATGGGACGAAATGGCGATGAAAGGTATCGAGCCGATCAATTCTACGTATGGAACTCTGATTGATGTTTATAGCAAGGGTGGCCTTAAGGTACATGCCCTCTGTTGGCTTGGGAAGATGAGCAAGATCGGTATGCATCCCGATGAAGTCACGACGGGAATTGTTCTCCAGATGTATAAAAAAGCGAGACAGCTTCGAAATGCCGAGGAGTTTTTCAAGAAATGGTCGTGTGGACGTGATCAGGGGACGGGTGTGTTCACTGTGAAACAAAATGCCGAATCAAATGCTTATCTAGGCGCTTATGCTTATAACACGATGATCGACACGTATGGAAAGGCTGGGCAAATAAAAGAGGCATCGGATATGTTTTCAAGGATGCTGATTGAAGGGATTGTTCCGACCACCGTGACTTTTAACACGTTGATTCATATGTATGGGAACAACGGCCAGTTTGGGGAAGTGACGTCTTTGATGAAAACGATGGAAAGGCTTAACTGCTCACCTGATACACGAACCTATAATATCCTTATCTCACTCCACGCGAAGAACAACGACATCCAAAGGGCCGATGGATACTTTAGGGAAATGAAAGATTCTGGCTTTAAACCGGACCTTGTAAGTTACCGAACCCTTCTTTACGCGTTTTCGATAAGGCATATGGTTGAAAAAGCCGAAGAGCTTATCGAGGAGATGGACGATAAAGGTCTAGAGATCGATGAGTATACACAATCCGCTCTGACACGAATGTATATCGAAGCCAGAATGCTTGAGAAGTCATGGTTATGGTTTCAGAGGTTCCATTTCGCTGGAAATATGAGCTCGGAGGGCTATTCAGCCAATATCGATGCATATGGTGAGCGTGGCTATTTGTCGGAGGCGGAGAGAGCGTTTCTCTGCTGCCGAGAATCCAAGAACCGAACGGTTCTCGAGTTCAACGTGATGATCAAAGCGTATGGAATCGGCAGAAGGTACGAAAAGGCATGCGAATTGTTCGAGAGAATGAAGAGTTATGGTGTGCAGCCAGACAAATGTACATACAGTTCTCTCATACAGATACTGGCAAGCGCCGATATGCCTCATAAAGCTCGACCCTTTCTCGAAAAGATGCGACAGACAGGTTTTGTCAGTGATTGCGTGCCTTACTGTGCAGTGATCTCGAGTTTTGTGAAACTGGGTCGGCTCGATATGGCGGAAGAAGTGTACAGAGAGATGATCCGGTTCGATATAAAGCCCGATGTCGTCGTGTATGGAGTCTTGATCAACGCATTTGCAGATAGAGGAGACGTAAGGCCAGCTTTGATGTACGTAGGAGCGATGAAGAAGGCAGGGATTCCTGGGAATTCGATAATATACAATTCCTTGATCAAGCTATACACGAAAGTCGGGTACTTGAAAGAAGCCGAGGAGATTTACAGAATGCTTCGATCGTCCGATGTGTATTCCTCGAACTGTATGATCAATCTGTACAGCGAAAGATCGATGGTCAGAAAAGCCGAAGAGATCTTCGAGTCCATGAAACAGAGAGGGGAAGCGAACGAGTTCACATACGGTAAGATGTTATGTATGTACAAGAGAAACTGTAGGTTCGAGGAAGCGATACAGATTGCAAAGAAAATGAGAGAGCTGAAGATTCTTACCGATCCGCTGAGTTACAATAACATTATTGGATTATACGCCATGGACGGACGATTCAGAGAAGCTGTCGAGACTTTCAGAGAGATGGTTTCCTCCGGGGTTAATCCCGATGAATCGACGTTCAAATCGCTCGGAATGATTCTGATAAAACTCGGGATCTCGAAGAAATCTGTGTGTAAGATCGAGGCAGAGAGGAAAATGGATGGTCGGAGAGGATTAGAGGTATGGATCTCCACTCTCTACTCTGTTGTCGGGATCGATGATAACCACGAAGAAGACGAAGTTTTTTAGGGTTTGTAAGGTTGATCCGCCATTGTTTTCTATCTGAAGCTCCTCTGTATATAGGGTTTAGAAGAGAAGGAACAAATTTGAACCGTTGTAAAGTCTGGAAATTTTTACGCGGGAAAGATTAAGCCAGACTTAAACCTGATTTTCATATATTTAGATACATAATCGAACACCAAAACCAAAGCTACCTTTACAAAAAAAAAGGAATAAGAAAAAACAATTACACGACGTCACTGTGCCATGAGAGGACGATCTCGTCGAGCTCCGACCACCGAGTCTCCTCGTCGTCGTCTCCCACTGCCACCTTCATCTCGGCCACCACCACCTCCGGCGCTATCTCCACCGCCTCCACCACCACCGCCGTTCTCCCCTTCCCCAGCCCCACCGCCGCCGCAGCTAATCCGCCTTTCTTCTTCTCCACCACGAACCCTAATTTTTCCCCTATCTCCTTCACTTTCTCCACAGCCCTGTCCACCGAAACCCTAGCTGTGAATCTCTTCTCCCTCCGTCTTCTCCGTTCGAAGAGCCCTGATAGGTCTAATTCTGAAGAGAGAGAGATTATGTCGAATGCCGTGATTGAATCTATGGTAGATTTTGCTTCCTTTTGCAGGAATGGATCCGATTGGAAGATGCTTCCATGGAAATCTGAGGTTTCTAGAGACTTTTTGAACCAGGATGTTCGCATGACGGTTTCTATGCTCATCCTCGTATCCGGATTCGGATCGAGCATATGGTAGATGATGGATCGGGCTTGTTTCGAGATCCAATTCGGGAAACGGTAATCTCTGCGGTGGATCTTCCTGTACATGGCGACGATGTTGGAGTCATCGAAGGGGACAAATCCGGCGAGGAGGACGAAGAGGATGACGCCGCACGACCACGCGTTAGCCTGCGCGCCGTCATAGCTGTAATACCCCGATTCCCGAATAATTTATTTAAATTAACTTCGGGAATAAAATAGGGTAAGACAAGTCTAAAATATAAGGTGATTGGCATAAGATTCGAACCAAGGGATCAACGGGACTCGAACGCGTCGAAAACGACGAAAAAAAACAGTACAGAACGGACGGACCATGAGGTGGAACGGACGGACCAGAAGGTGGAACGGACGGACTGCCGTTCGCGAAGCGGAACGGACGGTCCCGGAGGTAGAACGGACGGACTGCACGTTCGCGAAGCGGAACGGACGGTCCAACACCAGAACGGACGGGCTGGGGGTTTGGGAAAAAGTCGCCGAAAATTCTGACTTTCTTCCATTTTCGGCCGCGATTTTCTCGCGACACACCGACCCCACGCGTGAACGAACTCCACTCAGACGCAGTGGACGACACCCTCTGGCCCTCCTACCCTATCCGACTTTCTTCCATTTTCGGCCGCGATTTTCTCGCGACACACCGACCCCACGCGTGAACGAACTCCACTCAGACGCAGTGGACGACACCCTCTGGCCCTCCTACCCTATCCGTAGCTCCTATGGCGGCGTTAGAGGTCGATTTAACCGGCTCCAACAGGTGAAGATCACCATTCTGCAACCCAGAACCTGTTCTTCGAAAACAGAGAAAAATAGAGAGATTCAGGGAGATTTGAGGCGGAGCAAGTTCGGGAAATCAAAGTAGGACATCCCAAGGAGGTTCTTGGAAAGTTTCACAACCAAAGACGGCCTGAAGAACACACACGAGCTCGGACAAAAACGCACAGCACTTGAATCCGAGGTGAGTGGTTTGGATTGTGTTTGTGAGATTCTATTTCTCATGATTTATGGTGTAGACTAGTGATTCTGCAAGAGTTAAGCACCTAGGGATGTTAAATATTGAGTGGGTAACAATTAGATCTTAAATCGGATCAGAATTTGGACAAAAATGGCAAAAAATTGGACTGAACTCGTGAAGAAGACGAAGAACTGGGTCCCAGACCGTCCGGTCTACGGACGTAGACCGTCCGTTCTGGGACACAGCAGAACGAACATGTATAAACAAACTGGAACGACTGATCCAGTAGAACCCGGAACATCCGGTCTAGAATATAACGGAGAACGGACGGTCTAGTTAGCTGGACCGCCCGTTCTGGACCTTGTAGAACGGACGGTCCAAAGGAACCCGGACCGTCCGGTCCGTTCTCTTAGAACGGACGGTCTAGGCATTTTTGAATAGTGAAAAATCCCAAAATCGCTGGACCGTTCGGTCCACGTAGCCCCGAATATAGGTTCACGGATTAAGTTGTGGTAAAGGAATTAAAAAGTGATTCAATGGAAAAGTAAGAAACAAGTATGTTAAATGATTATATAAACATGGAATAACAAAAGATAGGATACTTAAACCAAAAGCCTTGTGGGTATCAAGGATTAATCCAAGAGGAAAACTGGGGGTAATAATAAGGAAATAAGATGGTAAATAATTTTGTGTGGATAGATGCATGTGATTGAATGACTAAGGAATCCCGTAATTAGTACCGGTTGACGGCATGAGTCAGTACTAGTACGGGGATGTGTGGATATTGAACCAGTGCCGGTTGACGAACTTGGAGTCAGCACTGGGTGGTGTGTGGTTTCGGTAATAGTACCGGTTGACGAATTGGGAGTCAGTACTATTACCGAAATGGAATACCAGTACCGGTTGACGATGTGGAGTCAGTACTGGTATAGTTGGGTGGACACTTCTGAAACGGTACCGGTTGACGAACTTGGAGTCAGTACCATTAAGAAAATGTGTAGTGAAGCCAGTACCGGTTGACGGCGTGGAGTCAGTACTGGTGGATCTGAGTGGTCGCCTTTATAATAGTACCGGTTGACGAAGTGGAGTCAGTACTATTATAGGGAAGCAGGGTAAAATCTAGTACCGGTAGACGAATTGAGTCAGTACTAGATGATACCGAAAGGAACGGTACCTGATAGTGCCGGTGGACGACTTGAGTCAGTACTATCAGGTATCGGAAAAATGTGTGAAATAATGTTAAAGTGTTAAAAAGATAAATGAGAAAGGATTAAATGGATTAAAAGAATTCTTGTATTGAGAGATTAGTTGGCACCGTTCTCCATGAGAATGGGCTCTCCG